TCAGTAAATCAGGATTTGAGTAGACAGAGTGACCCGACAAACGGAATACATAATTAATCTGTCAAGAGGTATCGGCCTCCATTGAGCCCGACGTCAAAATGTGTCCGCTATGACTCAGAAAGCGATTGTATCTTCGAAAATAATCGTGCATATCAAAAGTATTATAAATATATCAGTTCATCATTTTACCTATAAAACATGCATATCAGATATTGCTTAAATGTGCCGATGTTTTCGCTTTCAATTAAAAATTTAATTTTACGCATAGGTTTGCCGACACTTCTTCGACTAAATAGAGTACATATAAAAGTAAGCTATAAATACACAACAATTTTTTTAAGAGTAGAAGAGGAGACGGGGTCTCGAAATATATATAGTACAATATTATACGGTTAGGAACTCATTTACTACTCCACATTTATGAACTTGAGAAATTTAAAACAATACTCATGAAAATGTCACATTTTTCTCAGTTTTACCCCAGTTTAAAACTGTAAACAAATGGCCAGCAACGCCCAATAAAATGCCACCGTAACAAATCTAAATATTCAATTGAAATCTAGGCAATAAATTGTTTCAGACTTTCAACGTATCGGTGCTAAATAAGATATTTTTTAGTTAGTAGTTTATACGTATAATGTAACGAGCTGTAATAGCTCACTGTCCGGGCACTGGCTTTTAATTAATAATTATACTCGAGCGGAGGTTCAGTAGATATACATCATGTGTTCAAGTTGCCACACACGGTACGAAAAAAAATCTAAAAATTGCTGTAAATATAAAAACTACTGATACTTATTCTTTAACAATATTAGGAGTTTATTGTCCTCAAGAAATGGTCACTTCCCTGTCAGTTGACTGAAAAAATACTTCTTCTTTTCCATTCTAATTTTAATGATGGGCGATTTAAATACTCATTATACGGCAATTTGATCAATGAGCTCAACGCCCTGGACCGAAAAGTCCCACAGAATGCATCATCCGAGATCGTCATTGATGAGGCTGTACCTGCCGCGGAAGCATGGTGGGAGGGGCTTTTTAAGCGCCCTCACCATGCACAATCGCGAGGTGTGCAGCCTCCGCAACTACTTTCTGGCGAGATCGGATGAGTCAATCTGTACGGACGTCATTAGTTGTGATAAAGGATACCCCTCTATCCTTAGCCAACGAGCAATGGCAGGACCCGGGAGTGCTGAGCGTTTTCGACCGGGAGGCCATATGGAAGGAGAAAGAGCTCCACGGGAGGTTCTACAAAGCTCTACACGAGCCTTTTGTAGATACTCTTGCCTCCCTTAACTGGCTACGTTTCTGTGACCTCTTTGGGGAAACCGAAGGTTTTGTCTGTGCGATACAGGATCAGATTATTAAGACGAACAACTATCGAAAATACATCCTAAGGGATGGCACCGTCGACATCTGTCGAGCTTGTCGCCATCCCGGGGAGTCGCATGTTATTTCCGGTTGTTCCATGCTTTCTAACTCTGAGTATCTGCATAGACACAACCTAGTAGCCAGAATCCTACACCAGGAGCTCGCTCTGAAATACGGCCTCGTGGATCGGAAACTGCCGTACTACATGTACTCTCCGGAGGCCGTGCTCGAAAATGACCGCGCCAGGCTCTATTGGGACCAGCCCATCATCACGGACAGGACGATTGTCGCGAACAAACCTGACATCGTGGTGATGGACCGGGCACAGTCGCGGGTATTTTTGGTCGACATTACCATTCCATATGACGAGAACCTCGTGAAAGCCTAAACAGATAAGAAGACAAAGTATCTGGACCTGGCTCACGAGGTGACCGACATGTGGGGTGGTATGCCGACCGAAATCATCCCGATAGTCGTGTCTGCGAATCGGTTAATCCCAGTCAGCCTCTCCGAACATCTGAGGCGACTGGGACTCCGGGACGGAACGCTCCAAGCTCAAATGCAGAAGGCGGTGCTCCTCGATACCGCCCGCATCATCCGCCGGTTTCTCTCCCTCTCAACTTAACCCTCGGCCGTTTGGTCTCCCCTGCCGAGGGCTTCCGTCTAGTTGGGTCCTATTTATTTATGTATTATATATAATATTTATATCTATATGTTTATTTTTATTCATAATATTTATTTTATATACAATACAATACAATATATTTTATATATGCAATATATATTTATATGTTTATTTTTTATCTATAAACCCAACCAGACGAGAAAACAAAGAAATATCCCCATAATAATAATAATAAAATATCTTTATTCATATAGACGCTTGCGCGTTCTTATGAAACGTCGAAATTTTACAAGGAAATTAATTAATATGTTCGTAAGTTACCACCGGTTCGGAAAGCAGTTTCTGTTGAGAAGAAACCGGCAAGAAACTCAACAGTTGCTCTTTTTTTAAAAGGTCAGTTTACAACATAATGTTACAGGTATAATAGTCTTGTCTTAGCCCACGTGAGTATCAACAGTATTAACCCCACACATTGGCGTCGTCAAGATATTCAGCAATAGTATAGTATGCTTTAGCCATAAGTTTACTTTTAACTTTTCGTTTAAATTCATCAAGTGGCAGACTTAATATCGACTGTGGGATTTTATTATACATGCGCACACTTTGCCCCATGAACGACCTGTTTACTTTTTGTAGACGAAACAATGGCGTAGTTAGTTTGTCCTTATTTCTAGTATTTAGTTTATGTCTGTCACTATTCTTTAGATAATTATTAATATTATGTTTAACATACAAAATATTACAATAAATATATTGAGACGCAACAGTGAGTATATTAATCTCTTTAAAAAGGTCTCTAAGTGTATTCCGGGCTCCGATGTTATAGATTGCTCAGACAGCTCTTTTTTGAAGAATAAATATAGAGTTTATATCAGATGCACTACCCCACAACAAAATGCCGTAAGACAAGATGCTATGGAAATAACTGAAATAAACAAGTCTGGCAGTGTCGACGTCTGATAGCTGCCTAACCTTCCTAATTGCAAAAACAGCGGAGCTTAACCTGTTCGCAAGCGATGATAGATGGGGACTCCATTGGAGCTTTGAATTCACTGTAATTCCCAAGAATACAGCGGACTCAACAGGATTAAGGGTTACACACTTCAACTTATCACAAGAACAATGTTCTATGGGGGTGCCCGCCGAGTCGGCCCTTAAATTTGAATTCGATTTGACGACTAATCTTAGAGCCAGCAATTTCTAAAACCTCTTCAGACATTTGAAACTGTTAAATTCATTACAACTTTTTAAATCGGGAAATTGGACGAATGTCCGTTATTCAGAAATTCAAAGGATACGGTGATAGTTTTAATCAAGATATTTTGCTTACAAAAATTAAAGAGATTTTTTCAGGCGATTTTCAAAAAATATCTTTCGATTGCTTGCAATTGCTTTGTGGTCGTAGAGCTGACATAAGTGAACAAGGACGTGATGCATTATTAAATTTACTATTTTTTTTTAAGTGAAAAGTTGCCAAACGACCAGACGGTTCACCTGATGGTAAGTGAATACCGCCGCCCATAGACATCTGCTACACCCGAGGGTTACAGATGCGTTGACAACCTTTTGAAAATTGAGCTCCGAAAAGGAAAAATTTTTAAAATCAAAACTTAAAAAGATAGTGACTGACTGTGACTCTTTGTTCAGTAAAGAGGAATTTTCGGAGTTTTTGAAAAATAACGGAAAATAACGGGCTCACATAGCATTTGCGACTCTAACAAACTGGACGGCGAAAATCTTGAGAGACCAGGGAATTCGAATCATACTTTTTCTCGACGACTTTTTAATAGTGGGTCAGGACAACTCAAAACTAGGGGATTGCTCCCCTAGTTTGGACTTAAAGTTTTGACTCAAGCTGTTCTCAGAACCCTACGAGAGTTAGGCTGGGTTGTCAACACCTCCAAATCGATTCTGGTCCCCCATAAATCATTGGAGTATCTAGGTCTAGTGTGGGATACGTGAAAGAACATAAAACGTTTGCCAGAAAAGAAAATTTGCCAGAAAGAAGTTGGTGAAACAGCAAAAAGCATCACTTCGCGAACTTCAGAGTTTCGTGGGGACCTTGAAGTTTACGCGGTTGGCCGTTCCTCAAAGGAGATTAAACTTCCGCTGTTTAAAGCTTTTAACACAATGCAATGGAATGCTTCGGAGAACGTCACTGAAGGAAGTCCCTCTTAACGACGCTAACGAACGATCAAGGAACTTAAATGAAAAAATGAATAAGACCATCCACCAGATAATTATTTATACTTCAAATGAATTCGTTTAGTAGAAAAACAATTATAATTTACAATTTTAAGAATAAGTTTATACAATAAGTATAAAAAAAACATTTTTTTTGTTTTTCTAACCTGTATGCACTTGGACAGTGTCAAATTTGAAAAAAATTAACGAAAACTATTCGAAAATATTTGAAAACAAAGAAGTTATCCAAATATTTATACAAAAATGTTTAAACAAAACAATAAACGGGTTAGAATTTTTCAAAGCTTTGACGTATCTGCAGAGCATTGTCAAGAAAAGGGTTAAACCTTCCTGAAAATAAACTCCTCATTTAGTTATTTTACAAAAAATTACTAAAGTTTTAGAATGATTCGTATTTATATTTTTCGTCCATATCCATATTCTTTGTATGTTTATTTAAGTCTTATTAAAATTACTTGCAATCTTCTTCTTAAAATCTTTTAACTAAATAAACATAAGCACATAGAAATATTACATACAAATGTGAAATGAATAAAAACCTTGTAAAAGAAAAGAAAGAGATCAACTTCTAGAACTAGGGGTCTCATTGTAATTTTCCACCCCGGGCCTCTGCAGGGCTTAGTCCGCCACTGGTTCTAATAAAGAATTATGACTACGATATCGGTTTATGGTAGGCTATTATAGGGGAATACAAGGAATTTTGGCTTTTATGTTACCAAGTTTAGGATGAAATGAAGTGTCATTTTGCTAATAACTATCGCGATTGGCTTTGTTATAAAGCCCGATTTACATTGGGCAAATGTTTAGGGAAGTAGACGATTACAGTGAGTAAGTACAGTGGTGTAAACCATCGAAGAGTAGCGAGTCAACTTGCCTTGCAAGCTGCCTTGAAACTTGACTCAATTAGAATCTTTCCTGCACTCTTCACCCCTCGCGCGTCCGCTGAGCACCCACACTATATTAATACAGTGGCCGGCAACAGGCAAAAAATTTACACGTATTTTTTTGATGTTGCTCGTCCATTTCAACTTAGAAATGTTACTGGGCTTGCTGTAGTGTAAACAGCTACTTGTTCGGTGCGCACCACTGGCCACTGTACTTTTACTCGCTACGCGCCTCTATCCGTGACCAATGTAAAAAAAAGGCTTCACAAATTTAAATTAATTCACAATTTTCAATAAACCGAAGTTTAGAAAATTTCGGTTACTTTTTATCACTTTTGCTGTAACCGTATCCTGTGCTTGTACAAAGTAATTTGAAAGGCATTTTTTTGTGATAAGAATAAGGGAAAATACGAAAGCATTATTGCGATTGGAAAATTGCGTCTCCTGCATCCCAAGCTAAACTTGCGCCTTAGTAGCACAGCAGCCATCTGATGTCACTGATTACCACTGATGACGTTGACGGCGAAAAAACATACTTACGTATAAAACTGTAACGTAAAGTTCATTTGTAAAGGTCACAAAGCATATGAATGGGTTGAATGAATTTAAAAGAGATAAAACACACTGTTAGAAGGAGAGATTGTAATGCGACGAATCAAAAAGTCTCTGAATGAATGAATCAGTCAGTTGTAGTTGTATAGGATGTAACAAATTCTGTTTCTTTTTTATTTAATTAGTTTGTTTGAAAAATATATATAATTTTTTTAATTATGGATTTTTTAACGTTTTATAGTTTTTATGCTTATTGGCAAGTAGTGTTAGAAGTGTGTTCATTATAGGCGCGGTTGTAACGACACGCTGTATATTATAGCGGTTTTTTGGTGTTGGGGCTACTTGAGGCTTCAGCAGTTGAAATTCGGCTACATTATGCTACCAATGCCGGAAAAAATGGCTACATCAGACCCAGAGTAGGATTTCTAGTAGTACTATGATTATAGTGTTTATACTGTAGTTTTATGCTTCATAGTATATACTATCTATATATAAGGATAGTACGAAAAATTACTTTAGTTTTACTACTTTACCTAAATGACCAACATATACCATTCACTGCAATCCAACATTAAAAGAAGTTCTTTGGGTTGTAATCACGTAGTATTGTAATGCTAATTCTATCGAAGAATACAAATTAACCACTACAACACATACAATTAAACAATTTAACCACTTGTTTAAAATCATTGTTTATTATTACCATAGATTATAAATAGTCCATTAACAATTAACGGGGACTTACCGTGAGTTACTTTTTTTATCGATACTCCGCTTTCTCAAACAGTCACTTTGCACATTACACTCAATAAAGTAGGTAACAGACTTCATAGTTGTCCAATAATACGATTAATTTATTATTTTTTTTTGGTACGGCCATTCCAACACCTATCCTTTTAAGTTTTTGGTACTATCTTTTTTACCGCACCTAAATCCTACCCTGATCAGGCCCTAGCCATATATTGTTGTTTATGGCAACATTGTCTATATAACCTGCATTACAATTACATGCGTTATAATTATTTTTCTGAAACTTAGATAAAAACATTTGTATAAAATGGTCTCTGTAAAGCCTATATTAAAAACAAAAAACAGAGTTACCAAACAGAAACAAAAAAAAAAGCTTAACATTAAAAAAGCTAAGAACAAAGTTAACAAGGCCCTAGAAAATATCTGTGAAACCATTATCAATCCAGAACCTGCACCAAAACAAACCTCCAAGAAAGTAAAGTATGTGATGCCATCAGTATATATTACGGATAATATCATTGAATCGTGTTTGAATGCCCTTCTGAAATTAACAACACACCATAGTAAAAAAAATTCAATATTTGGCGTTGAAATACCAATTTTTGCAGAAATACGTTGTTTGAAAATACCTAGCTGTAAAGGAAACATTAAGTTGTAAGTCATTAATTTAATTTTGTAAGTTAACACGTAAGGTATTACTTTCATATAATTTATCTTTGTTCTTATTGTAGTACATTACCACACAGTACAGTTCCGTCAACGGGAGAAATTTGTCTTATTACTCCAGATTTAAAAAAAGGGAAAAAGATTGATCATGAACCAACAATTGATCATTGGCAAGAGTTACTTAAAGAAGCTGGAGTTAAGGAAGTAAGTAATTCAACATAGGTTTATGGTAAATGTTTTTTTTTTACTAGAGAAATATAGTTTTTAAGTGATATTTTGTAGATAAATTAATTTTATTGATTTTTCTTAATTTAATGACGATAAAAGTTTTATTCACAATGTGCACTATTCATAGAAATACAAGAAATTGTTATTTGAACAATAATCTAAAAAAATAAACGGTTTATGATGTAACTTAAAAAGTATAAAGTATAATTAAATGATAAAATTTCAAGTAGTTTAAACACGATTAATGTTACAGATTAAAACAGTTTTGCCATTAAGGCAACTAAAAGTTGAATATGACCAATTTGAATTAAAACGAAGACTTCTAACACAACATGATTTTATAATGGTTGATACAAGAATATTGAACCATGCTTCCCATTTACTTGGGAAGATGTTTTTCAAAAAGCACAATATGTTGATTCCAATAAAGTTGAATGAAAAAAGAAATATCAAACAAAGCATTGATATTGGGCTGAGGACTGCAATGTTACGTTTTAATGAAGGTCACATTTCAACAATTCTTGTGGGTCATTCCAACATGCCACTAAAGGATTTACAAGAAAATATTGTGTCACTGATAAACCAATTCAAGACTAGATATCCTGGTGGTGAAGCCAATATCCGAGCAATAAATTTGAAATTACCTCTGTCTCTATCTTTGCCTTTATATCTCACTCTAAGTAAGTATCACAGATGCTAATATTTCAGTTCCAGTCCCTTTACAGATTTAAAAAAATGTATTTCCCTATATTTATAGGATCATCAAATACTGTAGGACATCAAAAATTAACACACCAAAAGCCTAAAAACTTTACTGTATTGGAGGGAGAATTATCAACTATTCCAGATAGTACAGTCACAGTAGCTCCTGATGGAACCGTACATCTAAAAAGACACAAAAATAAGTCAGAAAAAGGGTATGTTTCCATAATTTTATTTTTATATTAGAAAATTTGTTTTTGTAAGATGATTAATAACTTTAACAATTAACATTATTACAGGAATACTGTGGAAGAAGAAGAAGTAATTGAAAGTGACAAAGAGAGTGGCTCCACAAGTGGGGGAGATTAAAAGTTTATTCAATATATTGAGAGAATAAAAGAAATACTTGTTTTATTAATAATATAATTCAATCAACTGGGAACAGTTAATACAACATACTTTCATATATTTAGCAACCAACATCATTTATTAAATATTACAAAATTTCACTTAATAAAGAAGATTTTCCAGACTCATCTAGTGCTGTACTAGTAGATATCTTTGGAATTATACTGATTTGCATTTTAACTGGCCACACTTTTTTGAATTTTTTGAAATTTTTTATCTTACTGTCATCCAATGATATTTCATAAGGTTCTTTTTTAACAATTAAATCATTCCTTAAATTTAATGTAGTAGATCCTAAGTCAAGATCATTTAATTTTCCATCTAACTCTGTGACATCTTCAGTTTTTATGTTCACATTTCTAACTGCATTGTATTCCATTTTTAAATTATTTTGTAATAACTCTTCTACTTTAATACCTCTTAAAGCACTTATATCAAACTTATCATCTGTACTAATACTTGTTTTTCTGATTTCTCTTGTAATATTTGATTCTGTATATATATCTGTTTTATCATGATTAATTGCTTTCAATAATTTTGTAGGTTTTGGATTATCCTCAACAAAATTAAACAAATTGTCATCCTCATTTTCTATTAATACTTGTTTTCGCTTTAGTAGTTTTGTTAAATTCAATTTATTTTTTCCACCTTCAACAGAAGTGACTCTTGAAGTTGATTCCATGAAATCAAAGATATTATTGTCATTATTAGTACTCTCTAAGGCTATTTTCTTAGATGGATTATTAAAATTTTCAGTATCATCACATGCCCTTTTGAATGTATTAACCTCATTATTACTTGCTTTTTCTTTTTCAACATCCAATTTCTTATTTGGGTTAATTGCATTCTCAGTATTGTCTTCATCATCCCACTTTCGTTTGAAAGATATATTATCATTATTATTTGTTTTTGGGACATGGGTAGGGTCAATTTTGGTAATTAAACTTTCATTGATCAGTACATTTTCTTTCTTCAGAATATTAGGAATAGGCTCTTCAGATTCATGTGCTAATATATTTGTTTGCTTCACACCTATATCAGAAGTCTGTTTGATCACTTCGGAAGAAAAATGGAAATCTGGATTACAATATTTATTGAGTGAACAGTACAGTACTGCTAAGCCTATTTCAGCATCAGCCACAACTCTTTTACCTTTACTTTTTAGGTATATTAATATTTCATTTATTTGATTTTTTTGCATTTGTGTTTCTTGACTTGTAGATGTTAAATTATATTGTATAATGATGATATTTTCATCACAAAGCATGGACTTAGTCATCTTAGATTCACTAAGCAATAATATTGATGCTGAACTATTCACCAGAATATTCTTATACATTTCTAGTTGTCTTCTTGAAAAGAAAATGACAGTTTTTCCAGCAAAGAGTGTCTTCCTGTTGCTATTAGGTAAAAAGGAAACCATTTCTTTATTAAGTGTAGATTCTACTACTTGTGGAATATAGTTTTTAGGATCCGGTAAGATTGCACAATCCATTACAGATTCAATACACTTTCTCCAAAACTCGGTTGTTACAATATAGGCACCTTGCACCAAAGCTAAAACTACTTTTATAGTCAAAGTAATAGTGGGCATAGTTAAATATGCACATGAATCGTCCCATTCACTCTTCAATGACCCTCCAAGTTTGTCTAAATTGACTTTTAAGCTCTGAAGATTCTCACCTTTCAAAGTTGATGAACAAGAAGTAAAGTTTATAAAATGAACTTTCCATTCACTATTCATTTTACCGAATTTAACAATGGCACCAACATCAATTTTTTGTTTTATATTACATTCTAACTTTTCAGAGGTATTGTTTACAAAAGTACCATATTTGGACCCTAAATCTTGTAAATATAACATATTCTCGGAAACTGATAAAGATGCATGTTTTCTACTTAAAGACGCATCATCTGGTATGGCAAAATTACAATATTGTGAATCAACACTTCTACCAATAATAATTTCTTTTTGAGGTAAAATGTAAATTATTCTAGCATCGTGTTGGGACGTCAAAAACCACATTTTTAGTAAATGTTACAGATAAATTTCAAAAATTATAACGAAAAAGCTAAACTCCGCACCGTAAGTATCTTACTAATACATACTAGATGCTATTATACTATTGGTCTAATGGTTTAAGTAAATAATATGCGTAATAGTTGTCACTTGTCAATGTCATGTCATTAAGAAGATCCTGGATCCGAATCATCCGAAAGAAAAATTGCAATGTTTAATAAAAATGAACATTGCCAACATAAATTTTAAAGTTTTTTATAGTGCTAATCTCTGCACTTAAGATTGTGATCTTTTCGTAATTTTTCTATATGTTTTAATCTTTTCGTACTTTTTCTACATGTTTTAATGTTCAATTGCCAACATAGCTTTATCGGATTGCTTTCTTTTTTCGGCCAAATCAGGAAAAAAAAAATGAGCTAGTGCGCAATGACGTCCGCCCCAGTTGCCAAGGTAATGGCATCGGTGTCCAGTGATCGTGAAACTTACTACCCAACCCTTTCCACACAAAAAACAAACATTACTATGACGCCGTCTACTCCGTTACATCTTCGCGACCCCTGTTATCGAAAGATGGACAATCAACTAACTAGGGGAGGCACGACACGATCCGAGGGTCCCTCAGACTAATGTTGGAATCGTGACTTAACCGCCATCGATAAATTAACCTACCCAGAGGCTTCTTCTTACTTCTTTTGGGTCTCTGGGTAGGCCCAAAGAAAGTAATAAGATTGATATCGCGACTTAACCACGAGATATACTAACGACCAACGATCGGTTAAGGGAAAATTAAATTACGCAAACATTTAACATACAAAAACAACTAACAATAATTAATCCAGTGGCGGATTTGCCCTAAGGCCCAATAGGCTCGGGCCTAGGGCGGTTACATATTAGGGGTGAACAATCGTGACAAAATATTCACTGATGATCATTGGCGTATCTAGAATTATTTTTCAGGGTGGGATTCTGGGGATTCTTACTACAAAAAAATTGAACACTATGCGTCGCATTAAAAAATTAACAGTTCGTTGTCGTTAATAATTTTTCATTAAAAACTAAGTACGTAAATAGATTTCTCCGCTGTAGATAATTATTTAATTTAAACTATTTTTTAAGAAGTTTCTTAGGTATCCAGCCAAGAATTTCGCATCAGTAACCCAAAAATCCTGGGGTGGGCATGGCCCACCCGGCCCCCCTGTTATAGACGCCTATGCTGATGATAAAAAGATATATGATGGGCTCTGAGTCGGTTGGAACTTACTACATGGGCTGGAGCCTAGGGCGGCCAAGACTATAAATTCGACACTGTCATCAGTGGACGTTAACACGTTCGACCCTCTGTCATCTTGTCCCAGTGAGGAATCAACATTTTTATTGCACCAGTTAATGTACCGAACAGTGTTTTACATTTATAGGTGCGGGATGGATTTCAGAAACATTCATCCAATGGATTTGAATGGGTGTCGTTTCTTTTAAAATGTTTTACGAAGCGTTATTCTTTAATGAAATTGGATGGAGTTATTTTTAGATGGCGATGCAATTCAGCGTTCTGGATATACCATAGGGAGAGTTGCGAGACGCGTCGGGGAAAGAGACAATCTTTGTGCAACACTGAATATTTTTAATAGATATAATTATACGCCTACAAAGTCACCGGAAAAAGTGTTTCAAACATAATGGTAGCACACATTCACACTTTTCGTTCATCATAACTTTCTCACTCATGTCATATAATAAAACCGGCCTAGTGCGAGCCGGACTCATGTACGAAGGCTTCCATACCATTATCTATAAAAACTGCAAAAAAATTATGTCTATAGTATGCGAGTCTCTTTGAAATATTTTTTTATTCTGTTTTTTAATATTTGTTATCATAGCGGGGTTTTTTTAGGTTTCCGTACCCTAAAATGGAAAGCGTTATTAAAGCAAAAAGAAAAAAAGCGACGGCAACTGTTTACCACTTTAACGTAAGCATAAACAAATATTACTCAGGAAACCAATCATGGCACGTTTGCCGAAGACTTATCAAATTCCTAGGTAAAGAAACAGAATGTGCAACTCTCGATAGTCCGCAATTTTATATAAAAGTGAACATTTTGAAAGTAATCAATAATATAAATGGACCTTTTATACTTTTCATATTGGTGAAAAATATTATACAAAGCAAAAAATACCGTCAAACGGGGTGAATAGGAATCGAGGGGTGAATAGGGATAAAATCGGGATTGAAATAATCGTGGTATTAACTCTGAATATCTACTAACCATAGCCTATAAAATGTCAAAAATGTATGGTAGAATAGTTACTTTTTGAACTGGCAGCATTTATTTGACATGAAGTTAGGAATAAATTGTCAAAACAACATTCTGAAGTACTCCAGGGGGGGCTCACCTCTAGCAATGTCAAATTTTATGTTCGACAGCGACATCTGGAGTTTGGTGGAAACAATAAAAGCTTAGCCGCCATTTTGTCCTATCTAGAGCTTGTCAAACTTCATTCATTATCAATCATCTTCTGCTGCATTCGTGTTGTTGATGTTTGATGCATTTAGAGGGTTAACTTTTGGTTAACTGTAACTCAGTAAAATTTTGTTATTATGTTAAAACCGTCATCTTTCTGTTTGTAATTAATATTCTTGTTTATCGTTACATTGTTTTGTTGTTCATAATTGGGAATTTTGTTGAACTTCGTTCTATTGTTAAGATGAGTGGACCTCCGAAAAAATATTGTATTTTTGGTTGTGATGCTTTAGGTGAGGCTTTCAACCATCATTATTTCAAAATACCTATTTATACATTAATATATGTTTATGGCATGATATAATGCGGAATACCATTAAATAAAACTCACAAATGTGCTCACTATTAATTGTATTTACATTAGAAGAACTTTAGATATGTTCACAATATTTTCACCCTTAAAATAATGTTATTGTTAACAAAGCAAATAGACCGTTGTCTTCTCAGCGGCGAGTCTCGAGGCAGAGGTAACTCCCCGGTCGCCGACCAATCAGAGGCGACTCGTTTGCAAACCGCGAGTCGCGCGCTTTTGCGCGCTAAATTTAAAATAGACGCGGCGGTTGTTTTCATCCGCCACATGTTCTTTATACTAATTAAATGTTTCCTATTTAAGTTGCACACGGTGTACCCCAACATCGATTTCCAAATCCTGAGAAGCGTATTGGAGACAAACATACAGAAACTGATCCTAAGAAAATATATGCTAATAAAAGGTTATGTGATAACCATTTTGATTCAATGTATAAGACTACCGGAGGTCGTCTTAGTTGGTCAACAATCAATACCAACCATTAATTTGAATCGTAAGTGAAATTTGATTCTTTTTCTTCTTCTTCTAAGGCAGTTGACGGTCCATATGATATCGTGACAATAATGATAAAGAAACAAATGGTTTGAAATATTTAAAACATTTTTGTAAATATTGTAATATGTAACGTTGATTTTTGTTATTAAATAATTCTGACTTTCTATTTGTTTGTGCCATTAAAACTTTTTTTTAAAATTTTGACATTAAAAGTCTACTAACTTTATAAATTTTAAATAATTGCAAACATCTATTGGCTCAGTAAATTGATGTTGGCCCATAACAAGGTTGCTATAGGCCTTCTTAGGCATAACCGTATTGTAAATCCGAAACCCTAACAAAATCCAATATAAAAGTTCCAGATAATTTTGGGTGGATAATTTTGGGTTAATATTGGATGGGTACGACAACACACTACGACAGGTTTTTACCTGGCCAAGCCAGCACTAGCTGAATCTCATACATCTGTATGTCAGTTTCTCTTGAACAGGTTGTACTATATGAGATGAACTATAGTATTGTGTTCTAAGTCTGCGTAAACTAGTAACTATGATATCAACTATAAAATAAATAAAAATATTTTAATGTTATTTTGCAGGTATGCAGCAATCACTATTAACATTTGTTGAAATTGACCACAGTTACTCCTGGCCAAGAAGAGAATATTCACAATCTAAACCTTTGGCTAATATATTCCTGGAACTTCTCTATGTAAAGTGTCACTAGGTGGTGGCCCCACTGAATGTCAAATGCCATCTAGTTCTACAACTTCAAATAAATAGAACCATTGTGATCAAAAATCTTCAAATGATTTTTGTGCAGGTAATACAATTTTCTATATTTATTTCTTAAAAAGAATAAGTTTACAAGTTTCTAGGAATTATAATTATGTATGGTAATTGTTAACAATAGAGGCAGACATGTTTTAAAAAAAAGATATTTTTAATCAATAGTGAAACTAGCCAAACTATAATTATGAAGTAGAAATAACCGAAGGTACTTAGATATTGCAAAACAATTACTTAAGATATAAAAATGAATTTGAGATTAGCCTAGGCAAAGAAATAACTTATTTATTTATATAATAATGTAAGATAAGTGACAAATTTGGTTATAGTGTTAAAATATTTTAAATTTTAAATTTTTTTTAACCATATATTTTAATTATATTTGACAAACTAATACACAATACAATCGGTGTTACAAATCTTGATTGGTCATCGTAGATTTAGAGAAAATAAGTTGTTAAAAGATGGAGACACAGAAAAGATAGTTAATCAATCCTATAAGGGTTCTATTTTTTGTATGTAAAATTGCCATCAACCAACCACTCCACTAATTGTGACTTTTCTAGTGCTTATGTAAATGCATCACCTTAGTTTCCATGAATTCAATTTGTCACAGATATGGTTAATAAATAATCTTCATAGCTGGATACTTGTTACATGTTAATACATATAAAAACATCTCAGTCAAATCTTAATTCTATTTAAATGTATTAATTCTTGATATAATCTTTCAGATAAAATGTTCGAGTATCTGCAGAAAATGTCTAAGACTTGGTGTGCAAGAAAAGTAAGAAAGATGCAAAGTGAAATAAAAACAATGCACCAACAAGTCAAGTCTAAAGTCACTTCTTAGGCAGGTACAGAAGTCATCATTAAAAAGTGATTTTGAAAAATTATCTCAGAACATGTCGGAGTCAGCAAAGCTATTTACCAGGATGCAATTCATGGGAGGACTGAAGAAAAAAAGGGTGTAGATTCACTCTTGACATCAAAATATTGACTCTCTCTTTGTACAAGAAAAGCCCTAAAAGTTACAAATTAATGTGTAAGCATTTCACTTTACCATCAAAAAAAATATTAAAATTATATATATTACAAAATATATAAATTTATATAATTAAAGTGATGGGGAGAAAATTGAAAAATCGGTACCAACTGTAAATAATTTAATGAGAACAATCATCAAACATCATCGAACAACATTGTGGCAATTATTGTTTAAAAAATATTCCTTTGACGCCATACTAACACGCAATTTTAATCAAGACCCACTCGAAAACTTCTTTGGCAGTATTCGCAGTTTGGGTGCTCGGAATATTGCACCTAACTGTTTGGGAGCATTTAAAATACTTTTATTAAATAATTTCAGTAGCAATCACTCTATTCATTCAAATTGTGAAAGAGATTTAATCAATTGTTTGCAGCCACTCTCTTTTTTTAAGAATAAAGAATTTAATAAGGCTCCCTTTAAATCCCAAAATATTGTTATTGATCAGCCTCTGACTATTATGCAAAGAACAAGAAATGTTTTAGATTCCGGGACTGATCAGAGAACTTATGTCTATGGGTGGGCCTTGATGAAATGTTTACAAAAAGTAGTCAAAGGATGCAAAAAATGTAAGGACAAATTACTAAGCCATACTGGCAATGGATTGTATAAATATATTAAGGCCAAAGAATAAAGTCAAAATAAAAAATGGCTCTGCTATTCATCTGAATGCTTAGTGGCTTGTTTTCAAGAAATACAATAAATAACAATTGCATTTTTAAATGATGATTGTCATAAAAATATATAAAAGAAAGCTTTCATCTCTCATTTTTACTTATTTTGCCTTCATGGATTGTGAAACTCATAAAGAAAATTTAAAGAAATGTTTTATTGATTATTGAATTTCCATTAATATAATTGTTTATAGTTGGTGCAGATCTGTAAATAGAATACTAGAAGGAAAACTTGTTTATAATGGAAACAATAGAATTACTGTTCTAAAGATAAAATAAAAATATTTATTTAATTTTGCACTATAGTTATTTTTCCCCATTATGTTCAAACCCCAATTACAAGAACAGATTTAAACTTGTTGTCATGGTTGTAATAGAAAAAATGTCCACATCTTCTATATAAATGAAAATTTTCAGTCAATGTAATATAAACAATAACAATTTTTTCCTAGAACCCAATAGTACTTCTAAAATGCGTATTGTGTTCCAATTTGAGAAAACTTCCAGGATAAAGCTAAGGGGGGGCCATTTCTTAAAAATGGAAAGAAAATATCCTTTGCTTTGCTACCTATAGTAGACAATTTCAATTATTAAGCATATTTAAAAAAATCCGTACCAGTTATTAAAATATCTTAAAAACCTTGTGTTATAGTCTTTACTAAAGAAATAAGCATTTCATTTTGGTTTGGTGAATAGGAAATCACATAATATAGAGGCATATAATATGTATTGGTAGGCATAATAAGTATACACACACATTGGCCTAAAAACTGTCAATGTTTGTATAGATGAAGTTACTCAACCAAACTCCAGGCGGCAGCACTTTCCATAGATCCAATTTTTATCATAGAGTTGCCACTCTTTCTCCTATATATAACTTTACTCTTTGAGTTACTCGTTGGTATTACCTGGATTTAGTGTCTTATCTTTTTATCAAGTTATATTGTTTTTGCGGTTGTATTGGTATCAAAACAACTTTAGGCGAGGTTCGTGTTTATTCTAGAATCTGTTGAACGCAATCTAAGTACTATTGAAAGACTACTTTAATCATAAAATTATATTTTATTATGACTAATATTTATTAACATTTTAAGAGGTTTTTCGGTACGCGTCAGGGGTTTTTAGGCACGACTGGAGGGTCAATTGGGACGGGATATTGATTAAATAGGGACGATGCAGTGTGTCAAGAGACAGTAAAGGGACTATAGGGACAGGGCTGCCACTTGATTTAGAAATAATTTACACGATTTATTTTCGATCAAACTATTAATATATTTTTTTTACATTCTCTATAATTGGAAAAAGACCGATGGGAGAATGCAGGCTATTGTATCCAAAAATATATTTCCGTCGCTTCTTAAAATGCTAATGAAAGAGATAGAATGCAACACCCATAAAAATATTATAGCAGGGTTTAAAAAATGCGGCATATGTCCAATGAATAGAAATAAGGTTTTAGATAGACTTCCAGGAATAAATCCAGAAGCTGTCTATTACATTTTTTTTTACTTTGGGATTATTTTTACGAATGGAATGGATACGAATTACTGTGTACTTGTCGTGTTGCCTTAATCAAATTCTTTTCTTTGATTACGTACGATTGCAACTCATTTTCCACACTTTATGTAAGAAACCATATACTGAAAACAGTTAGAGTAAATAATTACATATTCTATTATAACATTTGAGTAATAACGATAGACAACTTTTAACAATGGACATTATTTTGAATGTTTAGTTTTGTATTAACATGTGACAACACTGTTCCTATGAATAGATTATTAGACGTAACCATCAGTTTCCATGGCAACCAGTGACTAACAGTAAACAGTGGACAGTGTCATGTGTCACTGTCAGTCAGTAGTATATTGCTGAGTGCCCACGGCATGGAATCTCTATATACAAAAGTACTCTGTGGTTCATTCGTTGTATGAAGATTCCCGTCTGAAGCATATCCATATCATCTTAGTAGTCTGTGCTGAGTGCACTCAGTAGTATAATGTAATAATTTATTTACATACAGCCTGTTGTAAAACGTAGCAGAGATACATGCTCTTTACGTCTTCTTTTAAATGTAATCTCTGGCACTAGTACTTTGTTTCGTTTTGCTTAAAATTAAATATACAAACGACGCCATGGACTTATATTAACAATAACCGTTTCATTTATTACTATTAAAATACATTTAAACATAACAATATGACTCTATATATTGATAAGAAGTTGATTTTTTCTGACACAAACGTAGTCTCGACAATTGGATCGTGGCACCCATCTCTACCGCTTTTGGCTATTGGTTCATACAATCAGGAGAAGGGTGGATTTGTGACCATATTTCAAGAGAACGTATGACTTCCATAAATTTTTGTCTAGGTGCGTCGTATTTTACCTTTATATAATTATTAATTCAAATTACAGGGACAAGCATTAGAAGGTTGTGATTGGCCAACTCTTTTGTCTAACCAGGTCACTGCTTTGGCCTGGCATCCTACAAGAAAATTACTTGTTGTTGGTTGGGATGGTGGAGAATTATATATATGGCTGGAATATTCTTGGGCGAGACTGGAAGCACCTCATAGTACTGCTTTAACTTCTATAAACTTTAGCTCTGGTGGAGGAAGGTTGATTGCATCTGATGCTGCTGGTTCTTTGTCAGGCTGGCAGTCGAGCTCTGGTGCCCCATTAACAGCTTTCCATCAGCAGCTAAGTGATGTTATCACACACATAAAATTTTGTTCTCCACATACTAGTTCTGAATCCTCTATTAGAGGCCTAGCAAGAGCTGCAGTTGCTGGTGATGAGAATGCTTTGGATGCTTTAGCCGCCTGGAGACCCAGAACAACTGCTAGAATAAGAGAAGGCTTACAGCCAGACAACCATGCATGCTATGCTGCTCAAGACAGTGGCATTATTTTGTATATTGATCATGCAGGTACCTGTTCAGAAATATTTAATTCTCCAGGCAATGTTGTATTCATGGATATAATTAGTATGATGTATCTTCTTATAGCTTGGGAATCTGGGGGAGCACTTAGTTTAACTAGGTTTATTATATCCAATAATGGTTCTTTAACAACAGATACACATGTCAGAATGACATCTAGGAATGGACAATGTGTGGTATTATCTGGCAATTTTTGTGTTGCTGTTATTACAGGAGATAACTTGATACGCATTTGGGACAGTGAAACAGGCGACAATGATGTGCTGCCCAATGATAATGATGACACTGTACAAGGGGATGTGTTCACAAGCATTAGTTATTGTAACTTAAGGGATACACTTTGTTGTGGTACATCACAGGGGTATTTGTATCTCTGGAGACGTGATCATAGAAATAATTGGCAGCTTATTAGTAGCACTTCAGTAAAAGGAACAGTGAAAGAAGTATGTTGGGGTTCAGAAGGATTAATGAATCCATTATTGTATGTAAATTGTATTACAAATGCATTTATTCTTCGTGAACAACATGTTTGTTGGGGATATTCCCACAACATGTGGATGGTCCAAAAGTCAGCAAATGAATTAGGAATAACTGACAAAAATAGTGCAACATCAAGTATTAATTCTTCAATAACAGTAAAGGCTTTTGTATATAAAGAAAATTATATTGCTATAGGAGATGGTAATGAGGTTCAGGTAAGAATTATTACTTACCATAAAACATTTGATGGTTAGATGACCAACAATTTCAAATTTAGGTATAGCATAAATAACTTTTTCCATGATTTCTATTGTCCATCTATGTTACTTATTCAATATTGTACAGGCTTACAACTTTGCTTAACACATGCTATTTTAAATCTGTAATTGCCTTAGTATGATGGGTATTTATCATTGTTGTAATATTTTATTTAAAAATTACTTTCCCTTTTCAAAATGATTCATTTGGAAAATAAATTAAAAAAACAGTTTTATTTTATTTAAAATCTTGCAGATTTGGATGTCCAACAAGGAAAGTGAAATTAAATTTTCCCTAGTGCGCACTTTCATTTGGAAAACAGATGTCCTTATATTATATCATGATATACTAGTTGGCATTGTCAACCCACATGTTGAATGTTACAATTTATTAGGGAATAAGTTGGGAATACTACCTAGCAGTGAAGGGGAAGGTGAGCCAATTGGAATTTCAAACACTAACAAATTTATTGTTATATCAACCATTGATGGGACTCTCAAATTGGCTGAAATAACAAAAAAGGGTTTAAGAATGCCCTATCCCCCGAAAAATTGTTATCAAATTCTAGAAGACTTTGGAGAGATAATGAGGGCTTCTGTAAATTCATCTGGCCAGTATATTTGTTTGAGTATTGCAAATTCAGGGCTGGCGCCAGATCCCAAATTATATATATTCGATGTTGCTAATGACGTAGTTACAAATACCTTGATATCAAAGAACACTGCCCCTCCGTATCAAAGTGTTCCAATAGCCATATTGTGGGATGTAAATGATGCGAGACTTGTTGCGGTTCATATGCGCTCATCAGATTTAGACAGCATTCATTTATTCTTTTGTCAAGAGGGAAAATTGTATGAATACAAATATTGGTGTATGCCATCAGTGGCATATAACCTATCCGATTTTGTGTTTTGTTCACTTCACACGCCATATGTTGTCATTTTGACGCAACAAAGCATAAAGCAAGTACTGATGCAGGGATTCGATGACGAGAATAATCAGGACCCATCAAAGTGTAAGCAAGTGTTAAACTTCCTTTACTACATGACAACTGGTAACCTGGAGAAGGCCGTTGTAGTAGGCTCGAAAATAACCTCAGCCGGTAAAAGTACATTGATATGGGAGAAGCTGGCTAAGGTTTGCGTTTCGCGAAAACGGGCCGATGTGGGCGCAATCTGTTTGAGCAAAATGGGTAACATTAAGGGCGCGCTAATGTTGCGTCAAGCGATGAATGACGACAGCATGGACGATACTTGTAAAGTGGCAGTGCTGGCCGTCAATCTGGGCATGCTTGGGGAGGCTGAACAGTTGTTCAAGGAGTCCCATAGGCCCGACCTTATAACGCGTTTGAAATCGGCTAAAGAGGGCGGGCTTACCGAAATTATAAATGGCGATAACGACGGCGAGAATGTTCTACTGATCAAAAGTGCACAGCACAAGCTGGCAAAAGTGCTGTGGGCCAATGGGGAAACTGGAGCCGCGCTGAAGCTCTTCGAGAGCGCTGGGACCCTAGTACCGCATCTGCCCAGAATGTTGATCGCGCAAGGGCAGGCGCCAGTGCTTGAGCAATACGTGACGAACTCAAACGACAGCAAACTCATAGTCTGGTGGGGCCACTACCTGGAGAGCGTAGGTGATTTGGACGGTGCGTTGGAGGCTTACGCCCCGTGCCAAAGATTATGGCGAACAAACGAGGCTTTTGTGTCACATGCAGAGGATAGAAGAAGCGGAGAAGTTGTGCCAAAAAAACTCCTCTTCAATGTATCAAATGGCACGCTATTTGGAAATGAACAACAAGGAGCCTGATGCCGCAGTGAAGGTATAACTGATATTAAATCATTAATAAATTCTGAATACTTGACCCTTGTGAAATCTCGTAAATTATCGTGATCAGTCACTGAAAGGTTACATAATTGTTTTTGTCAATATGTCGTCAAACATAGCAAATATAAACCTTAGATTTAGTATTTATTTTATTTTATGAAGAACAATGAAGTTTTGGTATACCGACAAAATAAAACACCTTTGAAAAATAATACATAGTGTTATTTAAATCTTAAACAATTACATAGTGTCCTTAGTTCTAATATAGTTTATATTACAAAAACCCAATGTACTAAACCATTAGTTTGTTACTAAGTACAGTAAGCTACAGCAAGTAGGTAGTATTGAGCAAATGTAGCTCAGAACTGCTCTAATAAACAACCACTACGAAAAACAGAAGATGAAAAACTATCCAACATTTTAACGTTGTTCAACAAATGATTACTTAGCAAGTGGCAGACGTTAATACATTAATACTTTAAATAATATCCAAAACTGACTCAATATTTTCTCGATTACAGATGTATATAAAGTGTGGGGCGATTTCGTCCGCTATTCGAGTAGCGGCGGAGGCGAGCGCCTGGAACCTAGTATGGAGAGCTGGTTCTGCGTCTTCGAGGCATTCCGTATACGCGGCCTCCATCCTAGAAAATGCCGGCCAGAACGAACAAGCGATCGCGTTGTATCAAAAAGCCGGTTTGTACTAATACTTTTGCAACAGTCTCCTTTATTCAAATTCAGTCTCGTAGCAGCTTCTGCTGAGTGAATGACCAGCTCGACTGTAAAATTGAATAGACGTGAGAAAAGTGCACTGGAAATAAAGCTTTGTGCCTTAAACCTACAGGATTCCTTAATACAGGTCCCAGCTAACACAGAGAGTTTCCGTCCATAGTCTTTCTTAAAACGAAACAGGCTACTAATTCTTTATCGTCAGACAGAACAAAGTGCAGTCTTGTTTGATGAAGAAATCCACACCTTTTTCAAACGACTTCTTTAAAAATTTTCCTTGCAATGGGTTCGGCTTGGATGCCATGTGGATATGGGTCCAAATATAATAGATAATTGGACTCTGGAGATAAATCAGAAAACTCCTTAAAATCAAATAGAAAATTGTAGCGTTTTTTCGTTAATAAAAATGTACTTGTATTTTGTTGCCATACTAAAATGTATCGGCAGCTTATACAATACTCTCGGACTTTCGTAACGCAGGAGTCTTTCACAAATACAAAACATTTCAGGCAAACCGCACATGGCGTTGAAACTGGCTCTGAGCTGTGGCGACACCAACTCCTTGATCACCGCTGTGGAAACTCTCGGTGATCGCATCGATCCCGAACTAGCTCACACTTTGGCCGAACACTTGAGAAAAACCAATCACCACTCACACGCAGCCGCGTTGCTCGCGACAGCCGGCAAGGTGAAATCAAAATTCATTTCTCTTTTTGGCTTTTGAAACTTCACTATTAATTGAACATTGATCAATCACTGTAATGCTTTTGTCTTATTTTTAAACAAAGTAAAGTAACTGCTATATAATTATGTCTTATAAGACCTACTTTGTGCTGGCGGTCAGGGCATAACCCATCTACTACGCGATATTACTACGAATTTGGCAGGCTTTGCATATTTTCGAAATATTTCTAGTATAAATATTGTTATTTAGAAAATATACAGGTTTCCTCACGATGTATTCCGATTATTTTAGTTTCGATCTGATTAGTTTTGTTTCACTTTCAAATTTGAACTCTGGCAAAGACTTATACATTTCTGCGACTTAATAACGATGTCTGATTTTCGGGGGTACTCTTTTAAAACGACCCCCGCGCTTGCGAACGATCCCCGTGATTAATTTTGCCGAACAGTACGAGGACGCACTGGACATCGTGGAAGAGTCGGCGGCGCCGCTCAGCGAGGAGCTGAGCGAGCGTCTGGCGGCGCCAGCTGGGACTGAGGGGCGGGTGGCGCTGCTGAGGAGGTTGGCCGACGTGCTCGGCGCCCGGGGACTCTACCACCAGGCGGCAAAGCGACTGGCACACGCCGGCGACAAGGTTTCTCGAACACTTGTACAGTAGCCGCGCAGCAGTCTAATGCACGAATGAACGGTATAAAGTGGATGCAATTGAAAAAGAGGGGCAACGGATATGGGTTAAGCCGAATACGAATATAGCGTCTACCCGACGGGCTCAGTTGGGTGGTGGCAAGGGCGGAGAGAGTACAGCACCTTGTTATGACCGTAATCTACTCGATGAAAGGCAGGCGCGGGCCCCGCTAGATGGTACAAGGGAGGGAGGAAGTACAGCACCTAGGTATAACCCTTATCTACTCGACGGAAGGCGAGCCCGGGCCCTTAAGGTCAGGGGACAGTATAGCACTTAGGTACTCGTATAACTCTAATTTATTTATTTAAACTTTTACACAAAAAACAAACATTGTGTATAGGCATTCGCTCCCAGTCAACCTATGGGCGACGCAGAGACAAAAGAGGCAGGCCTAATCTAACCGACGGCGGTCGGGCGAGGGCCCCGCTAGACGGGATAACGTGGGGTGAAAGTACAGCACCCAGGGATAACCCCAATCAACTCCGCGGCAGGCGGGCGCGATGCGTTGGCTGCTGCGCTCGGGCGACGCGGACCGCGTGGCGATGTTCGGCGCGGCGTCCCGCGACCGCGTCGCCCAGCTGATGGCGGCCGACTTCCTGCGGCGGCGGGCGGCGTGGCGCACGCGGCCCGACCTCGCGCGCCACATACTGCACTTCTACACGCGCGCGAAGGCGTACGCTAAGCTGGCCGCCTTCTACGCGGAGTGCGCGCACGCGGAGGTCGAGGACTACGACGTGAGGACGGCGCTTTGTCTGTCTGTCTGTCCGTCTGTCACCGGGCTGTATCTCGTGACTTAATACCTAATGGCATTCTCTACCAATCAGTCTCTACTTGTCATGGATTTTAGATTATGCATTTATGTTGTCGCTATAACAACAAATCCTAAAAAAATGGAATAAAAAAATGTTTGCGGGGCTCCCGTACAACAGACATGATTTTTATGCCGTTTTTATATTTTAGATTTAGATTATGGTACGGAACCGTTCGTTCGCGGCTCGCACTTGGCCGGCTTTTTTTTAATCACGGTTTTGAACACACGGTTCGCGAATACACTCCTCTCTCTGTCCTGGTGGTAGGGCCGCACAACAGTCTTCGCTGTCTCACGGATTGGGAGGTCCGTGAGGAGACTGGGACTTCAGGATTTTTATTACAAAAAAGCCCGTAATTGTAAACATTTATGAGCGTCGCAAACATCTTATAAGCAAGCTTATTAATAATATTTATCAGTATAATTTATTTTGTGCATAATTAAAACAAAAAGAAAACATTCTAGTTTCGCAAGAATGTGTAATTCTGCGTGTTTTTTGTATTCTGATACAAAAAAAATGTGCTTCTTTAAACATCGTCTGATAATATGCATATCATGAGTCCATCCGGAAGACTTTACCTACCTTTAAATAGGTTTTATTAAATAACCTTACGGGAAAGAACATTAAAATAAATCTAATCTAATACTTTTGTTCACAGAACTATGAAAAAGCTTTGGAAGCACTAAAAGAAGCTACTCGTTGTATAGCAAAATCTTCAGATCTCGAAATTGGTACGGCTGAAAATTAATTAACGCCTTGCGTCAAAAGGTTTGTAAACGCAATAATTTTCTTGTATATATTTCCAGGATCTCAAACCATAGCTCTACAAGAACAATCCTCTTTTTTAAAGCGCTTTGTGGAAGTAAAAAAGCTTCTTGAGGCAGGAGATATAAATGCAGGTAAATATGAAATATCCCTACAATAGCCACGGCTCCTTTGGAAAAAGCAACAAAAAACGGACTTAATGGTACCTTACGAACCTAAATATAAATTTTTATGTAAAATTTGACGATTCATAAGGACGCACAAGCGTCTATTTCAATAAAAATATTTTTGAATTTGAATAACATATTCTGAATTATATTTAAATAACTTTGTTTCGAAAGGTGTTGCCAGCGGCCAACAGCTGATTCACGCAATAAGTGGTCGGCCAGGATTGCTGTCTGAAGAAAAAATACTCAAACTATTAATTCAGTATGCACCCGATCATCACGATGCGGACCGTATGTAATATTTTTTTCTTATGAACCTTTCGGGTTTTCTATGCAATTCTTTCGTTCCTAATTTAATTATTTTATCCAATGGTTTCTTTCAAAGGGCTACAGCAGCGGCTAAACACCCTGCAGCAAAAACCACAACAGGAAAGCCAGTCTACGGATTCACCAGAAGAAAGTATAGAAGAAGTAATTTAGTCCCCGTAATTGTGGTTGTAATGAGAGCGGATTAAAACTCAAATATAATTTTGTAAGAAAATAGTACTTATCATTTATGTTATGAAAATTCCATGGAGAGAAAAAATATAAAGTCACTTTTCCTTTCTCCGGCATTTACTTATCGATTACGGCGGATGTACGTCATGGTGTTAATGTGATTGGCTAGGTTACTTACTACTATTTTACGATCATTCGCTTGTCTGACATACATGTGTATACATGTATGTAAATATGAAAAATTACATACATGTATATACGTATGTTAATTTTCTACAAATAATTAAATTTATTATGGGTTTTCATTGATAAATTAATAATCAAGATATCACCGTGTGCAGAACGCTAGTAAACACGCAAAGGAACTACTGGCTGAGACATATATACATATACAGCGTGTCGTTACCATCGCGACAATAAATGAACACACATATAGGGGATAACTTTTTAAAGTTGTATTAAACATTTAAATTTTTTAAACATCATATTTACAGAGTTATTAAATTTTCCAAAACAAAGAATTTTAGAACACCTTACCTATAAAAGCGTAACGTAAAGTTCATTTGTAAAGGTCACAAAGCATATGAATGGGTTGAATGAATTTAAAAGAGACAAAACATACTGTTAGAAGGAGAGGCTTGTAATGCGACGCTATGGCGCGAGTTGTATAGGATGTTACAAATTTTGTTTCATTTTACTTAATTAGTTTGTTCGAAAAATATTTTTTTTTAATTATGGATTTTGTTTAACGTTAATATTTTTTTATGATTATTGGCAAGTAGCTTTAGACGTGTGTTCATTTATTGTCGCGATGGTAACGACACGCTGTATATATTTCATGTAATGGATATGAGAAGAAGAGAAAGAAATGTGCGTGCGCACTACTATCTCTTGTCTTTGCCCCTACAGTCACATTTGCGAAAAGTAACTCCCTCTCCGTTCGCTTTACCCGATCACATTTTTCGTAACGTTCTCGTTACGCATTCACCACCTTAATACGCAAGTCAAGTGTGCCTATACAAACGGCTAGTTAGTAAAAAGAAGGCGGCCGTCGTGGTTTCGGTCCGAACCGTGACCTCGATGGCCCTTAGATGACACACCATAGTTAAACGCACGCATGAGCACATGCACGGCCCTACCCACAGCGGAGAGCCCAAACCCGAGGGTTCTGGCTAGCCCACCGGTTCTGCGTTAGATGAAGCTTTAATATTCTCGGGACTGAGAGCAAAAACATCAGTTAATACAAGATACAAGGAAGATTAACCGATTTTTCAATAGCGGTAGCGTGGGATACATTTTAAAGAAAGTGGCAAAAGTAGTTAAAAAAATTTGGTAAAATTTCAGCAGCCCACAACAAAAAGGCTGAGCCAGAACCTCGCGTCGGAGGTCCTGAGTGGCGCAAGCCGGCGAGATCCGTAGCGGAGCGAAGGCCGAGTGGGTGAAGCGACACTCAGGGGCGACATAGCGAGTGTTCTGGCGAAGCACGTGGGAGAGTCAAACTTAATAATCATATTTTTTATATTTCCGTTATCTGTCGTTTAAATTTTTCTTTTGTTTGCTATATAAAAGTTGTGGGCTGCTGAAATTTTACCATATTATTTCATTTGAAGGGGTATAATTTATTATTGGTTTTTGACTTAAGCTTGGACAAATAAAAAGTAAAAGAAATATATCGATATTTATCGTATCGACATTTTTAAAAACTATCGATAAATATCGAATACAAAATGTCGATAAATCGATATGTTTTTTGGTTTATTTCATTTATTATTTATATTTCCAAACTATTCAAAATTCGTGAAAAAGAATAGACATGAAGAAAAATGTAGTATTTAGTAATATTCGACTCAATCAAATACAATTTATTCGAACCAAATTATCTGATATGGACATTACAGTAGCCCCCTCTGTATAATGTGCTCCCCTGTCAAACGGCTTCCTAATCTTATTGTAGGGTACTGTCAGATTCATAGCTGAAGCAACTCTTGCTGAAGACACCGAAGAAGCCTGGCAAGTTAGACTTTTGAATTTCACTTCTTTTTAAGGTGTTTTTTTTTGTAAATTTATTAATTTGTAATTGTATAAAATTGTAAAATATTAATTAGTCAGACGATTTGGATTTATTGTACATCGCAGCGTTAAATAAAATCATGCATACTGACATAAGTATAAAGCTTAATAGTTGAAAAATTTAACTAGATTAATAAACTTCGCATGATACTGAAGTTATCCGACGTCTAATAATATTTGAAACTTTTCCAACGATAAATTATAAAAGAAAATATATAAAAAAAAATTGTACTTAGAGTTTTTAAATTCCTACATGTGCAATTTTTTGTCTTATTTTTGTAACTTTATTGATTTTTTGAAAAAAAAAACAAGATACGAAAATTGTTTGTTAGCTTCAGGGTCATATTCGTCTCACTGATGGTTTAATAGTATTATTAGTAATATTAATTATTTTCATGATATTGACTTAAATATCTTGTTATCAGGCCATATATACGTATTAAAAAAAGTATTATCGTGCACGCATTTTGTAACACTAAACATCAAACCAGAGTTGTTCTACAAAATATATCGAAATTGGCACGAATTCTATAGACGAAAATAAATATCGAATAGGTAATAACAATATCGACGATATGTATCGATATTGATTTGGAAAAGTATCGATATTTTTTGCTAATGCCTACTTTTGTTGTCATTTTGTCATTGTCATCATGTCATTTTGTCAATGATTGGTCTCGGATAGGTTATATTGTGTTTTCACGTGTTATATCTAGAAACTAATTGTTTAGTAAATTACCGATAAATGATTCTTAAATTATTATCATAATGGTACGACACAATAATCAATTACCAAATAATTTAACGCAATTGCAAAACTTGATTAAACGAGATCCTGAATCGTACAAAGATGAATTCCGTCAGCAACTTGCACATTTTGAAACGACACTGGAAATATTTAACTTAAACCCAACTCAATATGATAAGAAACTTGATGAACAAGCAATGTTCCTAGCGCAAGTTACACAATGTTATTTAAATGAAATGAAAACATTTCCTCAAAAGATTGTAGACATTTTAAAAACACATAATACCATTCTTCATAGTGATATGCGGCTTTCATTGTGTAAATGCTTGATTTTGTTAAGAAATAAACACTTCGTAACATCATATGATTTGCTAGAGTTGTTCTTTACATTAATTAAATGTCAAGACAAAAATCTCAGAGATTACCTTAAAACTCATATAATCTCTGATATTAAGAACATGAATATGAAACACAAGGATATGAAGATAAATTCAACACTTCAAAATTTCATATTTTCAATGTTACGGGATTCAAATGCTAAAACAGCCAAGCTTGCAGCAGATATTTTGATAGAATTATACCACAAAAATATTTGGAATGATCACAAATCAGTAAACATTATTGCTGATATTGGATGTTTTTCAAAAATAACCAAAGTTATGGTTGCATCTTTGAAGTTTTTCCTGAGTAGAGATGAGGAAGAAAAGGAAGAAAATTCTGACAGTGATGATGACATTGATCCAAGGGATACTATGATATCAAATAAATTTAATAAGAAAACAAGAAAAAGAGAAAAGATGGTAGATAAAGTTAAGAAAATTGCTAAAAAAATGAAGAAGAAGAAAGAAAAGGCACCAGTGTTCAATTTTTCAGCGCTACATCTCATAAATAATCCTCAAGGATTTGCTGAAAAATTATTTAAACAAATGGAGTCATCAAATGATAGATTTGAAGTCAAATTAATGTCATTAGACGTTATTTCAAGGCTGATTGGTTTGCATAATTTGTTTCTCTTCAATTTTTACCCATTCATAGCTAGGCTAATTATGCCTCATCAAAGGGAAGTGACAAGGATTTTACAGTTTGCAGCTCAAGCATCACATGAATTAGTACCACCCGAGGTTATAGAGCCAGTAATGAAAGCGATAGCAAATAATTTCATAACTGAGAGAAATTCTACTGATGTGATGGCTGTTGGGCTAAATGCTGTTAGAGAGATTTGTGCAAGATGTCCTCTTGCTATTGGAGAAGATCTCCTTCGTGATTTGGTCCAATATAAGACATACAAAGAAAAGTCAGTTATGATGGCTGCTAGGTCTCTAATTCAACTATTTAGGCAGTCTATGCCAAATTTATTGCATAAAAAGGATAGAGGGAGGCCAACAGAAGCGCTTTCAGAATTAAAGCCAAAACAATATGGTGAATTGGATATAAAAAATTATATACCTGGATCAGAGGTTTTGTTAGAGAAAAAACAAGACAAAGTTGAAGATAAAAAAAATAAAAAGTGTTCTAGTAAAAAGAATAATTCAGATGACGAAGATTGGATTGATGTTGCTTCATCTGATTCTGAGATAAACATTTCTGATACTGAAGAGAGTAGTTGTGAAGATGATGAAGAAGAAGAAGAAATAAAAGATGATAACAACGATAATCAAAACCCTGAAAGTACCTTAAAAGATGGTGAAGGCAAGCAAAAAGGGAAGCAAAAAGCTTCAAAGCAAGAAATGGAAGAAAAAGTTGAAATAGCTCGTAATATTGCAATGGACACAATATTTACAGATGAAGACTTTAAACGCATTGAGGCAGCACAGATAAAGAAATGTGTTAGTGGAGTCAAAAGAAAAAGAAATATTCTCGATGAAGAGAACAATGAATCAACTGAACTTGTACAACTGTCAGCTATTGAGAACATTCATAAAAAAAGAAAACATGATAAAGATGCTAGGTTAGAATCTGTACATAAGGGAAGAGAAGATAGAATTAAATATGGTTATAAAGACAGAAGGAAGAATGAGAACTGTTCTAAAACTAATAGAGAGAAAAGAAAAACAAAAGCTTATCAAATGGTGAAACACAAAGCAAAAGGCAAAATTAAGAAATCCTTTAAAGAAAAACAAATTGCATTCAGAAATTATTTGATCAAACAAAAGAAAATGAAATAATTGGAATTATTTGGAGTACCAAAATTAAAGGAAACTATTTTACTTGTTTTTATTTTTGCACATATAAATATACATTTTTTATATTTATAATAATAGTATTAGTATATGTATTGATAAACCAGGTTGCATGCATTTGTTATATTCATACATTAAGTAAATGCAACATCTGAATACTGCAAAAATTTAACTCTAAATGTGTTGCAGGAACAATACTTTAAATCTGAAATTAATATTAATATGTTTTTAGTATTACTTCACACAAAATTTGTTTTAGCTCTCGTTAACTCATTCAAATATAAAATTTCTTAAAGTGAATACGACAAGGCATCACCCATTCACCCCATCACCATTTTTATTGTGATAAAGTAAATAATTTAAACATAATTTAATTAACACCAAGTGTTACATAAAATTTTAGGTTTCATTAACCTTTGCAATCTGATCAAAAAAAGGCAACAATATTAATCAACATTGTCTTGTCATATTAGGAATTCATTATATGTTAAAAAAAATAGCAAATATCTCATATTTATAATAAAGAAATATTAAAATAACTTTCAATCAAGTTTAGACCTCATCACTATCTACAAATATACATATATATATATTTATATATACACATAGATATATATATATATATATACACATATATATATATATATATAGATATATACTAGCTGCTGCCCGCGACTACGTCTGCGTAGAAGGGTGAAAATTTAGGGTTGTATGTATTTTTGTATGCTGTGTCATAAAAAAATAAAAACAAAAAATTTTGCCTATAAAATAAAAAAAAAATCTAGGGGTGGCCTACCCCCTTAACATTTAGGGGGATGAATTGACCGATTCTCAGACCTACTGAATACGCATATAAAATATGGTAAAAATCGGTCAAGCCGTTTCGGAGGAGTTCAAGTTCGAACCCCATGACACGAGAATTTTATATATTAGAAGATATATATATATATAAATATATATATATACAGCGTGTCTTTACCATCGCGACAATAAATGAACACATATAGAGGATAACTTTTTAAAATTGTATTAAACATTTACATTCTTTAAACATCAATATTTACCGAGTTATTAAATTTTCGAGAACAAAGAATTTTAGAACACCCTTACGTATAAAACTGTAACGTAAAGTTCATTTGTAAAGGTCACAAAGCATATTAATGGGTTGAATAAATTTAAAAGACAAAACATACTGTTAGAAGGAGAGGCTCGTTATGTGACGCTGTGGCAACAAATGAAAAGGTCTCTGAATGTATTAATCAGTCAGTTGTAGTTGTATATTTTCTTTTTTACTTAATTAGTTTGAAAAATAGTTTTTTAACGTTAACATGTCTGAGTCATGAGCTAGACATGTCTTCATTTATTGTCGCTGTGGTAACGACACACTGTAAAATATGTATATGACAATGAGAAAATTATGAAAAATGGCACACCACATATATAATGTACAAATAAATTTTAATCTTATGTAATTTTCAAATATTAATTAAAGGTTAAAAGTTAAAAAGACTATTAAAATTAAAAAGTTTTAAGTAGAGTCAGACAAATTTTGTAATACAAATAAAACATTTTTTATCTATGATCAACAATTTCCTTCAATTTCTTACATAGTACAAAAACAAGAAAACATTGAATTCACACTGACAAATACTTAAATATATCTAAACAATGATATTGAGTAAGTAAATACACTAATTACTTTAAAATAAAATTAATCTCTTAAACCAAATCCCTTTTCATTTTCTATATGTTAGGATTATCCGTGAGGATACACAGCTTTAAAATATCAATATATAACAGATATAACAAAATTTTAAGATTTATTTAAGAACTAGCAACTTGTTTTAATGGGCCCTCTAAGTATTGTGCAATTGCATTGATTTTTTCCTTTAATATACCAAATCCAACAGACTCTTTTGCATATAAACATAGCAATAAATTTGCTACTTGTGTAACGGCTATTTTACCGTTTAAGCAATCTACTAAAATAAGATGTAGTTTATCTTCTTTAAAGACGTTTCTACCTTGCTTTTCATATGCAGACCAAACGTTGCTAGCTATAGCGGCAGTAACTCTGGCATCTTTATCATTGTAGCCTGAATAAGCCAAAAGAGCTCCTTGATGATTTAACAATCTGAAAAAGTGAAGATATTAAAAAAATTGAAATAACATATCTTTTATGATACTTTCTAATGTTATTACAATGTATTTTCGACTCCTCCTGTATTCGCTTGACTTAGTACTTGGGTTAAAGCTTTAGGTTTCAACATCGTAAATTATTAATTATACACGAATTTTAATTATAACATAAAATTATTTATTATTTTCACGTCTTCTTCGTCATTATTTGACGGCTGATGACAAAACAAATATTTCTATTGGTGAATTAAGAGTGAGGGGTATCGTAACGGTACCATACCATAACAGAGCAGACTGTCTGTACATGTTACGAACAAACTTAAATAACAGTTCCTGTTCCACACAAATTGTTCTTAGCACGTTATCACAGGCTTTTCTTTTCATTCATAAGACTGTTACCTAAGTTAGAAAGAGATAAAAACTGTTACAACTTGTCACAGTTGTTATTGTTACTGAAAGTGGATACTGTCACTGTTAGCAAGCTCATTCATTTTCTTGCATCGGTCTTACTCGTAAAGCTTTGGTAGAAAGAGAAGTTGGTACCGACGTTACCATAGAGTAACGTACTGTAAAGTTGTTACAGTAAGTTCTCTATGGTAACAGTTACACAAATTGTCATAACATGGTATGAAATAACGAGCTGTTATTTTGTAACAGAAAAACCGGGAATTTATCATAGTTACTTTTAAGTAACAGGTACTTGATTTAACCTACCATAACTCACTCATAATGTTAAGACGCCGCGACGTGAAACTGTACGCGCACGTAATACGACTCGATTCGTTGCTCTAACATAACATAGTTTGATGAGGTCTCTGCAGTACCAAATAACGAAACGATATGATAGAAACGAGTACTCATTAATATAGTAACGAATACATTCGAGTACGCTTTTTTTTCTTTATTTTGACTCCTATATTACCGATGACATTTCACAAAAGTATAGGGATGGGCAATGCGACGACGAACCGTTTGCAAAGACCGTTTTTATTTTTATAACTGATGTTACGCTTTTAGTCCTTAAACTAGTAAAGCTTCATCGAACGCAGAACCGGTGGGCTAGCCAGAACCCACCGACTTGAGACTCTCCTTAGAGGAATTTCTTGGTGCGATTTTTTATTTTACGCTTATGAAAATACAGTTCAACAATTCAACTATCTATCACACTCGTCCGTCTTGAATGGTAGATGTGGCTTATGGGATCACTTTCAAGCCAAAAAGACACTTAAGGACCGATAAGAAAACTATTTATTTCAACTGAAACATTTTGAATTTATTTTTAACGAAACGTAATCATTATAAAATTTATGTAAAATACAAGAGTTATGTCAGATAGCTATGTTACTTCTCCAAGCAATTTTTACGGAATAAATCAAATATGACACAATTCAGTATGAACAAATAAAACCTAACATTCCAAATTTATAGTAATTCAAACTAATACATACCTAAACCAAACAGATCAGAGTTTACATCAAAAGAGCATGTATAATCTGAGATTACCAATCAACACCAACAGTCCGTCGATTCGTTTACAAAACACAGACCTTCATTTGACCCTTTAATTGTGTCGTGTGTGTCGTTCATTAATCGAGTAACATCCCTCCTATTTCCTAAGTTAGTTTATAAAAATTGTTATCTGTAAAATTGTTTTGTGTGTTAATTGATCGTTTTCTGATATACATCTGTGTTTGTCTGTCTTAGTGTCAATTAAACGTCAACATACGTCTTCAATATAATAACACTATTTTGTTGTATACTAAAAACTTTGTGTCAAATAGCCGCAAAGTCGAACTATGGTTATTTATTAGGGTTCCATAATTGTTTGTTGTAATTTTTTTAAAGTAAGGTAATCTTTTCAAGATGAACTTATCCGACGATAGTGCCTTTGCAAATGGTCTATTATACGTCGGCTTTAATCAAGATCAAGGTAAACGTTCCTGTATTTTAATTTTGCAATCGTAAGAGAGAGATTATTTCATCAATTAATCGTTTTGTAACTTCTTCAGGTTGCTTTGCTTGTGGGACAGAGAATGGCTTCAGAGTGTTTAATAGTGACCCACTAAAGGAAAAAGAACGTCAAAATTTTGCTGAAGGTGGTTTATCGTACGTAGAGATGCTCTTTAGATGTAATTATATGGCTTTGGTCGGCGGTGGAAAAACTCCCTTATATCCCCCAAATAAAGTTATAATATGGGATGATTTAAAAAAAGATTCAGCAATATCACTTGATTTCAACAGTCCAGTGAAAGCAGTTAAATTGAGAAGAGATAGAATAGTTGTGGTTTTAGGTAAAATATTTTTTTTTTAATTGGTCTAGTTCGATACTAGAAGCATGTTCATTACTTTACAACTTTAACTTTCAGAGAACTTGATTAAAGTTTATACTTTTACTGCACAGCCGCTACTACTACATGTATTTGAAACATGTCAAAACTCACGTGGTTTGTGTGTTGTCTGTCCAAATAGTAATAATGCACTGCTTGCATACCCTAGCAGAAAAACTGGCCATGTACAGGTAAGAATACCAATTATGGTAAAAATGTATTTGAAACAGTTACTAATGTTTTTTTTTGATAGCTTGTAGAGTTGAGTAATCAGTCAGGATCAAGTAATACCCCAGAAGGTCATCTTATAAATGCACATGAAGCTCCTCTTAGCTGCCTTGCATTAAATGTTGGCGGAACAAGATTGGCCACAGCATCTACCAAAGGCACACTCATTAGAGTTTTTGACACAAGCAGCGGGCAAAAGTTAGCAGAGCTTAGACGAGGAGCACATCAGGTAAATTAAATACAGATATTTATGTTAGTCATATATTAACATTATTATTATCATTACTCAGTAATATTATGTAGACAAGGAATTCACTAATAAATCACATTCCTCAATATTCAAACACACTTCAATAGATGCATAATTGCTGACCGAGCAATGTTGCATGGCAGCTTCACACGTTTGTTGTGGGACTTTTGCGAGGCCAAAGCGAACCATCTATAAAGTGCGCAGTAAACATCTGAGGTGTCTTTCAGCAGCAACAAAAACCAACAACACTTGGCTTAGAATGATGCACTCTTAGGGTTTTTCAAACATTTGCCTTTGGTGAAGTGTAATGAGTCCACACTTAAAATTGAAGTTAACAATGTAATCTGTTCTGACACTGGTATTACACTTTGCTCAATTATATTAAAAGCAAGCATCCAGAAAGCTCTCAGGGCTTCATTAAGGTCTTTATTTTTCATTCACTGTTCATTTACTTTGCATCTTAAATAGTTTTCTTATGATATAGTCTGGTATGTATCTAAACAATATTGTTAATCTAATTTCAAATTGATATGTTTTTTGTTACAGGCTACTATCTATTGTATAAACTTCAATCATGCCAGTACTAACCTTTGTGTGACATCTGATCATGGCACTGTGCACATATTTAGTTTAGAGGATGATAAGTTGAATAAGCAATCTACTTTGGCAACTGTAAATTTTTTACCAAAATATTTCTCTAGTAATTGGAGTTTCTGCAAGTTTACCATACCCAATGGTCCACCCTGCATTTGTGCCTTTGGTGTGGACAAGAGTTCTATTATTGGTAAGTTGTTTGAAATAACAATACAGAGCTTTTCTTACTAATGAATTTTTGAAAAATCTAGCTGCACCAAGCTAAAAGGAAAATTTGTTTCTATATCTATAAGAACTTGTTGTAATTGAGAATGTTATTGAAAATATAATTATGAATACTTAATTCCTATAAAGTATATGATTTGTATTCTTACATAGTATATGATTAAAAAGTTTGAATTTAGAATTAATTTCATTTTCAGTGATTTGCGCTGATGGCTCATATTACAAATACAAGTTTAATGAGAAAGGAGAATGCAACAGGGATGTATATGCTCAATTTTTGGAAACTTCCGAGGACAGATAAATGTAATAAGAATTTTTATAAAGGATTATATTGAATTGTATAGGTGATATATGACCAGAATTTTATAATAATAATTTCTATTTTGATACAAAGGAAAGTGGCCTGATGTAATGCCAACTTTCACAACACTTTATCCGCAGAGTAATAATTAAATCAAACATTTCCTTTTTAGTTTTATAACATGAAGTTAACTTTCACAAATTGTAGTATTAATAAATATCTGTAAATTTTTTAACATGAATATTATTTGACTTGTATGAAATGTAAGGAAAATAATTATGTTTTGATATTATTTCATTAATTAATATTGTAATAAATTTTCTAATAAACATGATATAAATTCTTCAATGCATGAATATGGCAGACACTATGCTCCTAAGCATTAAAAATATTTGTGTTAGGGTTGTAAAAGGAAATACTTTTTCTCCATTACTATCCTAATTTAACCATTTCATATTATCAGCCTCTGTAATACAGTAATGAAATTAAGCATTATATAATTTTACACAAGCCTGCTCATAATATTTATTTGATGGTTTCATGATTAACTATGAATTTATATTTTTGCTTTCACACAACATAATTAAAAAATGTTGGCTCTATTCTCCATACCAAAGATAATTGTTGTGAAGTATTTTTAAATTAAATGTTGAAAAAATTTTTTACATGAAAAATAATAATTTAATAAAGTAGGTAACTTAACTTACTTTTACATGATGATATTTTAATATTGCAAGGAACAAGTTTAGTGAAAGTTGTATTGTTAAAAACCATAGTTTGACCAGCCATGAATATTTAAAAGATTTTGTTTTGCATAATATTTTTAGCAAAACTTATGTTCTGTTTTATATCCATCATTGTTAATAAAATATATAATTTTTTCTATATTTATGATTGTTAATTGGTGAATATGATCAAAGATATTTTATAATGTTGGAGAATTTTGTCATTATTTAAAAATTTTTCAAACTGGCATGTAAATGTTCAGTTGTTTAATAAACAACTGATATTTAAAAAAAAATATAATTGCGATTATATTCAAAGTATGCATACAATATAAAATTCAAGATTAATTAAGAACAATGTATGTTTTATTCTCAAGAAACTGAATTCAAACAAAGAAACATTTTAATGTATTCATTAAAAAAAATCATTCAAAATGATTTTTTAAAATTATTCATGTAATTTAATACGTTTCATATTCATTATGCGATTAGAAGTATAAAGGCAGTTTTGTAACTAGTATTATATATCGTCCAACGTCACAAAGATGACTTTTACATATACCTATTTATTTAAAATGATTATGGTTAATATAAACATTATTAAATCTTCACTTATAAACTGTAGGAAATTAAAAAATATGTTTAAAATAAAGTCAAAATAATTTTACCTGTACTGCACCATAGCAATACCATCACAGACTGGCACAAACTTCACTCAAAATTCTTATATTATATTTAGAAATTAAATTTTAGTTATTTTTTTATGTGAGAAAGTGGCAAATGTGCTGATGGTTTACCTGATGTTAAGTGATAACCGCCGCCCATGGACATATGAAACACCCGAAGGGATGCAAATACGTTGCCACCTTTAAATAAAGTGGGACCCGGCTACCTCACTCACCAGATGAAACGCAGATGTATAACACTTCTACTTTACGCCGGTCTTCTGTGAGGTCGTGGTACTTACCCGGACGGACCAGCCCATTCGTGCGACAGTGAATACTGTTTCATGGCCCTACCACAAACTTACTTGGCGGGAGACTTCACCAACCATAATGCTCGTGATTTTTTTAATTATCGAACCTTGCTGAGCTATTCGAACCCAATAATTCAAATTATTAGTATTATAAAAAAAAATCATAGTTTAAAAAATAAATTTTCACCTAAAAATAAAATTATTACCAAAAAACATAAGTAAAAATTTCTGTTATATGAATATGATCGAAAAAAAAAAAACAAAACTGCAAATTGAAATAATGCTAACAGTTTCTGCTTCCGTAACTATTATCATCAATATGCCTGTATATTGTTGTAGTATTTTAATTAATATTTTGAATTATGTGGAATATTGATTTTTAATAATCACTCAACGCGGGAATCGATCGTGAATTCAACTATAATTTTCGATATTCGCAATGTTTATGTAAATGGATCTCTTGCTTCTTTTTAATTTGTAAATTGTAATTTTCACTGATCGTTACACTAGTTGAATTTTTAAGTTAACTGCTTATTGCTTAAATGGTGCAAAATTTAAACAAGTAGACATTGATTCAATTTGTTGTTTTACGTTGTAACCAGGTTAAGGCATGACCTTACTATTATCTGTATACTATTAAATAAAATTTAAGATAAATTTATATTGTGTTTTTTTAAATAAGTTCCACCAGAAATGTGCTTCTGTGTTTAGGAAAACTTAATGTGATGGAAATTTTTACGCACATTTGAGCAAAAAGCACTATTCTGCTTTAGTGTTGCATATCAATGGACAACCGATTATCTATCGATAGTTAAGGTCAAAGCAATAGTATCGATAGTATTGTCACGTGTCAATACTACCGATAGTATCGATGGATCTCCAAGTGCCAATACTATTGATAACAGCAATACTATCGATAGTAATGCATGCAATAGTATCGATAGTAATGCATGCAATAGTATCGATAGTAATGCATGCAATAGTATCGATAGTATTGCAAAAACCATTAGTATTTACCAAAAACTGTCGATAGTGTCGATATTATCGATGATTTTGTACTATCAATAGCCTTTTATTGGCTATCGATAGTATCGATAGTTTTGTCGAAAACTAAGGGGATTTTCAATACTATCGATACTATAGCATGCATTACTATCGATAGTATTGCTGTTATCAATAGTATTGGCACTTGGAGAGCCTTCGATACTATCGGTAGTATCAACAGTATTGACGTAGACGATATTATCGGTAGTACAATCGACATCCTGAATAGTTTTCGCGGTCAACTACCGATAGTCAAACTATCGATGGTTGTGCAACACTTTTGCTTTTACGGATAGCCTGTTTCTCTTATCCTAGTTGAACATCTTACGTCACGTTATTTGTGACATGGCGTACAATAGATCCTAACTTGTGTTTGTAAATTGAAAGGCTCTTTATTCTTGGTCATTTGCAAGATTTATTATTAAACTCCTTATATGCTTTACATTAAAAAGCAATGTTAATTGTACTATGGGTTTGGCGTAAAATTTAATTTCTCACATTTAAAGAGAGACATTATATAAAGTATAATAATTCTATGGTGCGGTATTGGCAGCCACAAACATAGACTATCACGTCAACGGTGGAATAGCAACACGAATAATACAATAAATCCATATTTCCGATGGTTTAACCGAGTAACTGATATGATATCTACAAATGATTTATTTCTTCAAAACATCTATAAATGTGTCCCTCGGTATTTTGATATTGGCCACGCTTCGCATTTTCTTCTTGCCCTCGGCCTGTTGCTTCAACAGCTTTTTCCTTCGTGTCACGTCTCCGCCGTACTGTGGAAAAGCGTATTGCAGTTTTTTTTTATGTCACAAAGTGATAAACGAGCTGGCGGTTCACCTGATGTTAAGTGTTATTCCATAGACATTTGCAACACCCGTAGGGTTGCAGAAGCGTTGCCACTTTTAAATAAAGTCGGCACCGGCTACCTCACTCACGAGACGAAACGCGAAAGTGTAACAGTTCTACTTTCGTCTTCTGTAAGGTCGTGGTACTTACCCGGACGGACCGGCCCATTCGTGCAACAGTGAACACCATTGCGTTACCCACTCCTTTTCACTTAATCATTTACCTTACTTAGGGACTAGGGACCCGCCCCGGATTGGCACGAGTGCAATGAAACATGTAAACGTTCCCCTTGAATAAGTATCTAGTAAAAAAATAGCATCAATATCCGTTGCGTAGTTTTAAAGATCTAAGCATACATAGGGACAGACAGACAGCGTGACAACTTTGTTTTATACTATGTAGTGATGAAAGTCATCTTATCTATCACATTACGCATCCAGAGTGTGGAGTATGAATGTGGTTCGAGGATGTAAGGTTAAATGAAGAACGGCTTTGGATGGACCGTGAGAATCATGTCTGTGGTAGAGGTGAAGGACATGTGCCGACTCCACCTTATTGGGACTGAGGCATATGCGAAACAATTATCAAAATATTTTTAAAACTTGTAGAAAAATGGACGAAAAGATTTTCGCCCCTAGGGGAATCGAACCCATGTCCTCTGGAATCGCGGCGCGGCGCTTAAACCACTATGCAAAACAGGTAAAAGGACATCAAGCAGTCGGCAGGAAGTTTTAAAACTAAGTTTAAGTTAAAGAACTACTTGTTTAAATCTTTAATAATTACTTTCTCTTATGAACGAACATATTATCTGAAACTTGAAAATCATAACTGATTGAAAAATTATAATTATTTATTTGTCTATAGCATACCATATGTAGCTAGCAATAGCAAATTTCCCTAAAACAGATGGGCTGTAAACTAGTGTAGTAATTGGAATTACGACGATATTGGTATATACCAGGGTTTTCTGATTAAAGCCAGTCGTTCACGAGATCCTCGGAGAAATCGGTTTACCTCCGCAACAGCAGAAGCAGATGGGTGGCTCTAACATAGTGAAGAGAAATATTTTTTTGCCAACTTACCAATTTTGCGGTGACATCCTTCCGGTACGCCTTAATCGTCTCCCTGGCGTAAACCCTCCCAGAGACAACTGCTTGGATCGCAACCTGAATGATGTCACAATGAAATTTTGGTGAACAACTTTACGTTATTTTGCATATTTAAACTATTGTAAGTTTAAATAGGCAAAAGAACGTAATTATTTCTTATTTAAACGAGATACTACATGGTTTGTATGCTGGAAAGGATATAACAATAGATGGCGCCAAGCATTGCTTCAAATGCTAAGAAAACAATGTAGAGGAATGCGTTAAGATTTTCGTCGGTGTAGTCATCAGCCGTTTAGCTCAGTGGCTAGAGCGTCAGGCCGCGAATGCCGAAGACGTGGGTTCGATTCCCACAGCGGCGACAATCTTTTCGCACTTTTTCTACATATTTTAAAGAGATACTACATCTTTACTCCTTGCAATCAGTGAAATCAAGCACACATACAAATAAAACATGGAAGCCCCACGTTCAAACAAGTGATTCTTAATAAATAGCACCACAACTCTTGATATTTATATCGCGATTGATAGTTATATCGCGCCGTGAAACAAAAATGAACTTAAGTATTCATTAGTTCAACTAAGTCTACATCCCTAAAACAAGCCTCGCGGTACGGTTTATAAGCCCCGCGCCATCACGGTATATTTTTTTGTTATGTCATTTTGGAGCGACAGTAATGCTTCAATATTCATTTGCGTTCACTGTTTTGCAAGACGGTACTTAACTGAGCACATTTCCTTAAAAGGTGTTGATAAACCCAGTCAAGTTATAATAACATTTTTTATTTATCATTATTATGTTATAACTGAGAAGATTTACTTCCTCCATGACTAGATATAATTATTGTGATTATTAAAAATTTAATTCTTTTTACTTAGCTTCTCTCATCGCTAGCAGAATATAGTGAAACGGATTCATTTTCTTTAATAAAGAATGAACCTTTATTCACCTATACAAAGGTGAATGAATTTAATGTTATTTAAGCTTAATTTATGATTTTGAATGCAGTTAGTTGTACATGGCTCATAAGTTCATTATACACGAAGCTTGAATATAGGTATGATTTTTGCTGAACTCCCTCCTTTTCAAACCTGGCGTGATTAATGAATCCCTTACTTATGCCCAGTTTCCGGAAGGCCAATCAAAGCAGCAATCACATAACACTATGTCAAAAATGATCAGCTGTTAATCTCTTGTTAAACTGCCTTGGGTTTCTGGAAGGTTTGTTCAAGAAAAATTAGCTAATCACTGTCTAACCAATGATAATGAATGAAATGAATGATTCACTTCAACTAACTCTTTCTATTGTATAGCTGTCTCTTTTTAAACAAAACTTAAATTAACGTCACTATCCAGTCCTGTCACATTTAATAATTCACATATAAAAATTCGAGCTATAATAAAATTTAATTTATATAAATACATGCAAAGTGTCAAAAAAAAACTTTACAGAACGTAAAAAAAAGAACTTTTATCCATAATAAACAAGTAAGTATTATAAAAAGAAAGAATCCATATTATTTATTAACTTTTGAATTACATTTTGTATTTTTTCTAATCACATGATATGTTCGCATAATAATAATAATAAATAGGTAATAGAACACATGAATGTCCTAACAACGTATTAGGGAATTATGTTTATTTTTAATAAAAATTAAGATTTTTGATAAATAACATTTTTAACCAACGATTGATCGTCCAAATTGACAGATTGCTTAATAAAACTTTTGACAGCTCGTTGACCACCGAAAAACGCTTTCAGAAACTCGATTTTCTGTTGATTGTCCGTTAATCAGTGACTAATAATTCCAAATCAAAATCAATGTTGTTTAAGACGTTCTAAAACAAACACATAAAACAACGATTGACAAGAGATTTATCGTAAATTAAAATTGATTGCGCTTTCGGAAACTGGGTGTTAGTTGTACAACGCTCAATCAAGACTAGCGAGTTGCATCTATGCTCAGGTCACGTAGATGAGATAATTTACTACATATCATATAACGAAATTTGAACTAATTTTAACCTCCTTATTTAAAATTTTTTTAATCTTACCTGCACCATCTGACGCGGAATCATTTCCTTTAACTTTTCAGTCAGTCTTCTAGCGGCGTACTCCAAACGGGATTTGTGAACTATGCAACACAATTCATCTACCACAGTCCCGTTAAGTTGTATATCCATCTGCAATTTTGTTATATTGATTTACTTACGATTTTCCGCGTGTAAAGTAAATTTAAAATTCTATACAGCACCTATTCCCACTAATGTCTACCAAGTTCCAGTGTGTAATTTGTATAACTTTAAAAAAAGTTCCTTCTTAAAAAAAAAAGAAGCCCCAGTGACGTCATATTTCGCTAAAGTTAATACACCGCCCAAAACTAAATTACTTATCGAGGTATCGATGCTGAGGTTGTGATATGGTTCAAAGGGCCTGCTTTTTTTTAGATCACGATAGTCCAGAAGGATGCCGACGACCGGGATCGAAAGAGGATAATTCCCACATGGCGACGGGGCCACATAGGCGTCCTCGTCACGGCCCTCCAAACATAAATGGTGTCCCCCTACCAGAGACAGCTTCAGGGGTCACGAGCGATTGAGCCGCAGGCATTATTTGTACAAATCAAGTTGCAGATACTTCTTAAATTTTTTTATAGTGCTAATCTCTGCACTTAAGTTTGAACATTAAAACATGTAAAAAAAGTACGAAAAGATTGTCGCCGCTGTGGGAATCGAACCCACGTCTTCTGCATTCGCGTCCTGACGCTCTAGCCACCGAGCTAAACGGCTGATAGCCACAGCGACGAAAATCTTAACGCCTTCTTTCTACATTGTTATTTAGCATTTGAAGCAATGCTTGGCGTATCTATTGTTATATCCTTTCCAGCATACAAACAATTTTGAATATCGTTTTACAACGATAATTCGAACGAGAGATGTCGCCATTGCTTTTTATAAATTTTAAAGTTTTTTATAGTGCTAATCTCTGCACTTAAGATTGAACATTAAAACGTTGTTGTTTTAATGTTGAAACAATGTAGAAAGTAGGGATGCTGGAACAGGTATAAATACCCAGTATGAACATGCAAGTACGCACACCGTGTATGTACGGCAGAGGCCCGTTCCATACCCGATAGGTATGGCTGGGTATGGCCGCCTCGTCCGACGGTGGCGCTATATAACGCTCGCGACAACCCGCCCGCATACCGGGTATGACGTATGTACGGCAGAGGCCCGTTCCATACCCGATAGTTATGGCTATGGCCGCCTCGTCCGACGGTGGCGGTATATACGCTCGCGACAACCCGCCGGCCGAATAGGTACGAAGTTCCCCGAACGCTTACGGCGGCTCTTTCCGATCATGCCCGAATTGAAACGTATGATTTAGGCATTTTATACCAAATATTTCCTTGAGATAAATTTATTCTTTATTTCTATGACAATTAGGTAGATAAATAATTGCGTATTAAGATTAAACAGTAATATTTATTTTGAATTACTTTTTTTTTATAATAGGGTTCTTTACGTTGGTAAAGATGGAGCTTAATTTAGACTGATTAAATCTCAATTAAAAAAAATGATTGCTAAAAAAACATCTAAGTGTTCCAATTCCAACCAAATAAAGGTTCCATTCCATACCGGGTCTCCATTAGGAGGCCTGAACATAACTAATACCTATAGGTATTTTGATACTGGGTTTTAGCACCGTATATACGGCGATATCCGTACCTTTGAGGCCGGGTATAGAATGTTGCAGGTATATCTCATGCCTAGTAGAAAGAAGGCGTTAAGATTTTCGACGCTGTGGCTATCAGCCGTTTAGCTCAGTGGCTAGAGCGTCAGGCCGCGAATGCCGAAGACGGGTTCGATTCCCACAGCGGCGACAATCTTTTAGTACTTTTTCTACATGTTTTAATAGCAGATACTTGACGAGAGGTGTAAGGATCAGAAGTAAAAATCCGCCGTCTATGCGTACTTGCTGAGATTTCTTTTATGTCTGAGCAAGCTGTTCATCTGACGGTGAGTATTGTGCATTTATGCAGGCTTAAATGCGGGCCCTCGGATGCCTCACTTACTACACGAAACAGTCAGTTTCTTTAACAAAATCATTCTTAATAGTTCAGTGTGAATATGGACATACAGACATACAAAAAGCTTTATCAAGCTATATGATGCATTTACTGCAAAGAAGAAAGTCCTATTTAATAAACCGAAAAGCCTACACATATGCATAAATGATTAGTGAGGTTAAAGTTTAGTTTAATAAGTGATGTCGCCTCTGCTCTTAAAATTTTAGGATTAATTTTTAGAGCTAATCTATTTTATTTTTAGAGTTAGTCTCTGCGATTTTTGTAGATAAATAAACAAATTTACCTTTACGAATTGTGGCAAAATTTAACTGGTAGTACAATTTTATCAATAACTTCCAAACTTATGAACTTGAACATTTAATTGAAGGAACATTGGAAAAATGTTAATAACACTGTATTAAATAAGAATTTTTCCAAGTAAATTTTGCAGTGCATACTCGCCCTCACTAAATGACTGGGATGGAACCCATGATCTTCATAGTCGAAACTGGCGAAACCCGATGTTATACTCTTCAGTGTGTCATGGAAGTCTATGACAACTTCTGATAATGGTAGAATAAACTGCATCAGTGTCATTTTGTCGTCGATTGCATTAGATGGAAGAGGAATTCCACGTCTGTCTATACAGAGGGTGGTTACCGCACCAATATACTCCACAGGTGTAATTATTGTCCCTATAAAAGACTTTGAAATTAAAATTTTTAGAAAAAAGGATGAAGTTTCGTTTCTCTTTTTTTTTTTCGAAATTTAACGTCTCATCTTAATTGCAGAGATTAGTACGATAAAAATTTAAGACTTTAAAATTTCACAGGTGCTCAACAATTATACATTTTTGAGGATGTAAACTAAGAATATGATTTTGCTGATCTTATGAAATATTAGATATATTTAGAAATACCAAACCTATTACAAGTGGTTCATAATATTCTTCAATGTGTTGAGAGTCAGGCAGTTGCAATGGGTTTGTAATAATAATCTCTTCACTCCCATACTTCTTTATGATTTTTGATCCCTTAAGTCTGCAACAATGAAATAAAAATGTATAAATGTCGCAATATGGTCCCCAATGTGAATTATATAAACAAACATACTTAATTTTATATGGTACTGATGGTGCTGTGAGGATTGCTTCAGCTTTATGTTCTTGAAGTAGGCGTTGTGTAAAAACATCCAGATGAAGTAGACCTAAAAATCCCACACGCCATCCTTGGCCTAAAGCTGGACTGAAATATGATAAGAACAAATTATATTTCTTGTCAATGACTAGAATTTTAAAGGCAAATGACTATAACAGTGCTGTGTTACTCTTGCCAATTGAGAAAGTGTCACTCAATTTATTAATTTATTTACTACAATATCAATTTGAAGGAACAGTTTTAATGATGGAACAAGAGCTGGGAATTTAATTGCATGAATCAAGTGATCACTTCACTTTGCATCAACTCGGCGCACCCAGCAGACTTGATGAATGTTAAACAATATTTCACTAGTCCCTTTTACCATCATTAACATTAACTCTGCTTCATCTGCCTATTTAGCAAAGACATAGATATTGTTATTACAGTTCCTATCTACAACATTTCATTTTTATTTGGTAATGACATAAACAAATGATATTTATATAATATTTTGTAAGTTATATTTTATATCCGCATATTACTAATTTAATAAAGGAATGTAAGAATGCTTGAACAAATCTACTTTAGTTGCAAGGTGCGATAAAAGTTACTCATGTATTCAAGTAACCTGAAAACTGGAGTACATGTCAAGTAATATTCTAAAATTAAGTAACTTGAGTCAGAACACCTTGCTGAAGTTGCATCACTAATCTAGCCCTAGAATTCAATACATAAATAGTAAATATACTTAAAACACATGTTACATAAATAAACATGTGTTTGTACTTGAAATGTTAAATGAATCCAGAAATTGAAAATATTTAAATGTTTGCAAGAGTATTATAAGATCATGTTTTTACCTTGAATCAATGCTTATACTGACAGCTGAATCATTTAAGACTAACTTTTTAATGGCATCACTAAGGAAAACATGCTGAGATTGATCTGCAGGGAATATACCAGCATATACCATGTGTTTAACAGCCTGCATTGAAGAATTTTTTACAGTCTCTGGAGCATCTATTGATAATAGTAGGTCTCCAACGCTACCACCACCTTTAGGACCAAGCCCTAAAAGTAATTTTAAATAATATTTTTTAATAGATATATGTATGTACATTTTTCATATTAATTAGTTCAGTGCTTTCTCTGAGTATGAGAAAGCTATTAATTAATACACTCACTTAATATAGGCGTTATAACTATGTATATGTTGTTAAAGTGTTTCCAAGTAAGTAAAAGTAAATGTTATATAATTTACATATTATGACAGTACAGAGAATATAAAACAAGCTTAGCGTCTTTACACATAAGAGTTTATTTTTATCACTCACCTACCATTATAACTTGACCTGCAACTGCTTTATCAATAGGTTCTTCTCCTGGTCTCAAGATTGCCAAATATTTTACACTGTGTTGCTTAGTATTTGATTGCCATCTTACTCCCTGGCCAATTTTCACTGTCCCAGAGTGGATATATGCCAAGCAAAGCACTCCTCTGTATTTGTCATGCCATGTGTCTATTATGTGAGCTTTGAAATGGGCATTTGGATCAACATCTGGGGGCGGTATCCTAGTAATGACTGCTTGTAATAAATCTTTAATACCCCAACCTTTTTTTGCTGATATACTTAATACTGTTTCAGGATCTATATTAAAAAGAGATTTAAGCTGTGACTTTACTTTTCCAGGATTAGCTCTTGGTAGATCAACTTTATTTAAAGTAGGTATAATAAATAAATTATTCCTTTTGGCCAAAGAATGAACAGCTACAGTTTGAGCTTGGATACCTTCATTTGCATCAACTAATAGTATTACACCTTGGCATGCTGTAACACTTCTGACAACCTGAAAACACATAAATGATGATAATTAAGAAGGAATGTTGGTTTTTTAATTTATTTCAATTTTAAACTTTTTATCAATAAAAATTACCTCATTAGAAAAGTCTACATGGCCTGGTGTATCTATAAGGTTTAGAAGGTAAGATTTATTATCGTATGTGTAGTTAAGTGATGCTGTAACAGCTTTAACGGTAATGCCCCTTTCTTTTTCAACCTGCAATTATAACTAAATAAGATTTGTGTTTTGAATTGGGGCCCAAATATAAGATATTGTTTTCATAATGATAAGTATTTTATAAATACCGGCAGTTGATCGAGCACTTGCGCATTTTCACTACCCGGTTTTATCGCGCCAGTAATTTCAAGTAATCTATCAGCTAAAGTACTTTTCCCGTGATCAACATGAGCAACAATACTAAAGTTTCTAATATTTTTCCGGTCGATAATCTTATCACTGCAATCACTACTATTCATTCGGCTTGATGATCTAAAATTATTACTAATTGTTAAAAGACATTTTGCTATTCACAACAATAAGATTACTCTTTTTAATGCTACTAACCTGTTATCAAATTTGCTGAAGTTACTAAAACACGTTTTCTTATAGCGGTTTATATTCTTCAGTATATTAACCATTATTAAAAACTATATGTAATACTTTTTTTCATAGAATGAAGATCAACCTTTAATTTAAGACTAACTTTAAGGCAATGACATTTTGATAACCTCTAAGGAAATGACAATTCAACTGTCAAAGGAGGAAACAGTTAGGGATGAGGCGTATATACTGGAACAGGTATAAATACCCAGTATGAACATGCCAGTACGCACACCGGGTATGTACGGCAGAGGCCCGTTCCATACCCGATAGGTATGGCTGGGTATGGCCGCCTCGTCCGACGGTGGCGGTATATAACGCTCGCGACAACCCCCGATAGGTATGTGTCCGCATACCCGATAGGTATGGCTACCGCCTCGTCCGACGGTGGCGGTATATACGCTCGCGACAACCCGCCGGCCGAATAGGTACGAAGTTCCCCGAACGCTTACGGCGGCTCTTTCCGATCATGCCCGAATTGAAACGTATGATTTAGGCATTTTATACCAAATATTTCCTTGAGATAAATTTATTCTTTATTTCTATGACAATTAGGTAGATAAATAATTACGTAATAAGATTAAACAGTAATATTTATTTTGAATTACTTTTTTTTTGAAGTGAAACTTCTTTATCGGGGTTGGAAAAAAAATTAGTGTAACATTTTTGCGTTACGCGCCATCTTTTTCTTATCTTAAAATGTTCCTCTAACGCCATCTAGCGTTGAATAGGGGGTTTTATGTCGTCTTTATTCTTTAGTGGTTTTAATAGTTGACGCTCGATGGCGTTAGTTCCTCATTGTGTTCATAACAATATATATATATATATATATATATATATATGTTATATTAAAGTGATCAGCAAAATCAAAGGGTTTATTTTAATTATAATTCTAAAATGTAAACAATATATTTCGTATTTCAGTTACCATAAGCCATTAATAACACAAATATATAAAATATATAATAACGACATCAATGATAGTAATAATTCTATTACAATTAATGAAATTCAATAATAATATTTGTAGTAATGACAGTGCTAGCTCTAATACTTCAGAGCACGACACTGTAGAGACATCCTCTTCTCCAAAGGCAGGCACCGCCCACCGTGACCTGACTGCGCCTTCCACCGAAGACACAATCTGAAGCTGACCGATGATGCTCTCCGAAGCCTCGATCGGCTCCTGGAACTTGCGGTTGCGACGTCGATCCAACGTCCGCAAGTTCGGTTTTCCAAAAAAACTTCAATCACAAGACTCGCGCGCGAGTCGAATGTCTGCCTTCTACTCACTGGCTGACTATAGCAACGAAGGACCATGTACAAATTCAAAGCGGTTGTATTTTGGGTCCGTGAGGTTATTTGAAATAAACAAGGTTCACGTTGAAAGTTTTTTAATCAACAATTTTTGTGGACCCACATACTAATTACAACGGTCAAACCATAGTGTGTTTTAATGTACTACTAACGCCACTATGTATTACAAATAAGAAACTAAATATTATACAAAGGTAAAATGAAATAATTGTAGAATTTGTATTTATGTCTATGATAATAAAAGCCTTTTATTAAATTTTATCTAATGTAACTTTATTTAACCAATTCCTGTAAAGTTGCATATAGTAAATTATTTTTTGAAAAATAACGTCATTAAAAAGTTTCACTTCTTACGAGTGTACGCTAGTACACGCACACATTTTATTAAATTTTATCTAATTTAACTTTATTTAACCAATTCCTGTAAAGTTGCATATAGTAAATTATTTTTTGAAAAATAACGTCATTAAAAAGTTTCACTTCTTACGAGTGTACGCTAGTACACGCACACATTTTTTTTATAATAGGGTTCTTTACGTTGGTAAAGATGGAGCTTAATTTTGACTGATTAAATCTCAATTAAAAAAAATGATTGCTAAAAAAACATCTAAGTGTTCCAATTCCAACCAAATAAAGGTTCCATTCCATACCGGGTCTCCATTAGGAGGCCTGAACATAACTAATACCTATAGGTATTTTGATACTGGGTTTTAGCACCGTATATACGGCGATACCCGTAACTTTGAGGCCGGGTATAGAATGTTGCAGGTATATCTCATGCCTAGCAACAGTGGTGAGGATGAAGTCAACTGTCAAAGGAGGGAAACAGTGGTTTTGTTGAAATAAGTTTATTTCAACAGGAGAAGCGGAATTTTTAAAAACGAAAATAGTCGAGAAGATTTACGATATATTTTAAAATGTGTTATTAATTATGACATATTTGAACTTATTAATAGCATTTAATTTACATATATTGAACAAAATAAATTATAATTTTATACCAGTTTTTATTATATGAAGTTTAACATTTTATTTATACAAGGGTCATTAGATGATAAAAGGAATGGTACATTGAAAATGAATCCAGAGCAGCGTGATCAGATTTTATTTGATGAATCTACACCTTGTCGAGGTTAAAAACTACTGAATTCTACCAAAAGAGAACGAAAAAACACTAAAATCATAAATCTAGTATATTTTTTGCTGTCGTGTAACCTATAAACATGATTTTTCTTGATTAAACGATAAAGTAATAAAAATATAATTAAAAAAATAAAATTAAACCTAAAGTTAAGATTTTTCGCCTTTATGTTGGGTAACATTGTCATAAAGCTGTTTTGAGTCCATATGATCATACTTCTGTCACGATCAAATCTCCTACATCCTCCTTCCAACTGACCCCTCGTAACCCTTCTTTTCCATGCATTATTGCATGCAACATTGTTATTATTACATCGATTTCGATCTTAATTTTTAATCCTATTAATATCGGAAAATATTCTTTCTACTTTGGCGTTTGCCAAAGGTAGTATCGTCATTTGCTTCACAAATCGGAACAAATTGCCATACTTTGGTTTGCTATTAGCATCACAGATTTGGCTGACATCACTACAAAATGTATCCACCAAAAACTTCAGACATATAACTAGCAGTTGACAATGAATGTTTTTTTAACATAATACAGGTTCACACTACTGCATTAGTCGAAAGTATTAAAAAAGTCAAGAAAAAAAAAGTCTTAAAAGAATAATTAACTAAGAATTTCATTCCACATATTAACGTTAGCAACTTGCATACCTGAGAAATGCCGGAATATCCTTTCATATTTTTTATATGCTTTGATGTAGCCATGTGTTCCTACAACGACGCCAATCTACTTAGTACTTCACAGTTGCATGCTTTACAATGAGCACTCGTAGTGTTTACCTTAGATTTACATAACCAACTTTTAAATGGGGGATATTGCTCTCATTCATCGCGATATCCTTGTGTATATTTAAGTTTCATTTAAGACTCGATTATAAAAATTCTCAATAAAGGGATTCCGACTAGTCTATCACAATATGCTCATGGCACGAATCAAACGACCATCATAATGAAATTTAAATAGTAACAATCCATTCTATGAAAGGGGGAATACCCCGCATTTATGCGATAAGCCAAAAAAGTACTAGAATAACTGAAAAGTGTGAATTCTACTAAAATATACCAAATAATTTTTACATACTAAATTCTGTCGCCAGTACCTCAAAATCTACCAAAAAAGTAGAAATCTACAAAATCTGGTCACGCTGATCCAGAGTCAAATAAGGGAGGAGTGGAGGGATCGTACAATGAACGAATGAAACCGACGAAATAAACCTGGAACAATATTTATTCAAATTGACTATTGTACCAAGGCCTATTTGGAAACAATAAAAAATAAACAATAACGAAAAAGTAACAATAACAATACGTCGTGAGTGAATAGAAGTGAGCGAGGCAAACGCCTGTGCCTTTTGATTATTCTGATCTTCTTGCGAAGTAGTGGGTGATTTACTACTTGCGAAGTAGTGTACGTTGTTGTTAACAACTGTGCGTATTTGCCTATCAGGCAAATACGCACAGGTCTACTGGAATGATATATCTATCATTCCAGTAGACCCAGTAGCATAATTTACACCACGCATCCTGAAATCGGTATGGCACCGGGTGGTGACCGGAAACGTATGCCATCGCTGTGGCATTTTCTTGCATTTTGCATTTGGCTTTCTTGGGAAAGTTAGTATCTTGTATTAACTCATGTTTTTGCTTTCAGTTCCGAGATTATTAAAGCTTCATCTGACGCAGAACCGGTGGGCTAGCCAGAACCCACGGAATTGGGCCCTCCGCTGTGGGTAGGACCACGCATGTGCTCATGCGTACGTTTAAGTATGGTGTGTCATCTAAGGGCCATGGAGGTCGCGGTTCGGACTGAAACACTGATAGCCGTCGACTGTGCAATTAGCTAATCGGTGTCTGGGAGCGGTGAGAACCGCCCCGGGACTTGGGTGTACCTTGTGTACGCGTTGTGTTGGTCTCGCCGTACTCGGAGGTGAGGGCGAACTAGTGTGTTTGTTGTTGCACTAACTGTGGGTGTGGGTCCAGCGTATTTAAGTCCCCTTCCTCGACCGGGTCGATTAGGACGTTTCCTGGGCGACGCTTGTTGACGTTCGCGTTTGTGTCGGGTTGGTAATTTGCTGCGCTTACCACCAGAGGGTTGGGATGATGTTTGGCTCTATCGAAGAACCGTTTGGTCAGGTCTTTAAAATATTCGCGAATCGTCGGGAGTCTGCAATCGCTGTGCAGGTCGACGTTGCGTTGATACCACTACGCACCGGTTACGCGGCGGATGAACTTATTACTATTTGCATTTTGTACAAGCGAGTAGGGTGTGTGTGCGCGAAGGTCATGCATGCGTAGGATATAAGAGGTCGTACGCAGGTCTTATATAATAATAATTTGTCTTTAGGTATATCGCTCGTCTAGAGCGTAAAGAGCAAAGGTGAGAGGCAGGAGCCTTGTGGTATGCCGGCCGTGAGGCGGCTGTTTGTGGAGAGGGTGCCTTCAACTCGATATCGAAAAGAGCGGTTCGACAGGAAGGCCTTGATGGTGTCGTATACACACACACAGCCTATCTGGCACTTCGACAAGGTTTGGCACAAGGTTGTGCCAGACCTTGTCGAATGCTTTTGCAACATCGAAGAAAAGAGCCCCTGTACTAATATGTTTAGGGTGATTTAGGCCTTTTAGGATATGTTCCGTTAGGCGGAATATTTGATCGGGACAGGAATGTCTAACTCGAAAGCCGAATTGTTCCGCCGGCAGAAGGCCGTTGGAAAACACGTGCTCATTGAGCCTGTTCAATAAAAGCCGCTCGTAGAGCTTCCCCAGGCAACTGAGGAGGCTGATGAGACGATAACTAGAGGGCTGGTTGGCTCGTTTATTCGGCTTGCGAATGCCGATAACCGTGGCTTCTTTCCAGTCGTCCGGAAAGGAGCAACTGGAGAGTAAAGTATTGTAAATGGTCGCAAGTAAACAGATAAGCGGCCCAGGGAGAGCTTTAAGAATTTTGTTACTAATATTATCTACTACTTATATCTCTATTAAGTTTTTAATAATATCTTGGACCTCTTCGGGGGTCACTGAACTCAAAGGATCGCCTTTCGGTGGAAGCGCAGCCCTAATCTCGATTACGCGGTCCACCTCCGTTAGGTGGGCTGTATCGATGTGTTCGCGCGATGGCGTACATTGCTGCTCTAGGTTTTCCGCAAGGCATTCGGCTTTTTCGAAGTCATCTAGGGCTACTGAAGCGCTATTAGATCTAACTAACGGCGGTAGAGATTCGCAGGGGTCTGCTTTCAGACTGCGGGCCAACCGCCAGTAGGCGGTGTGCGATGGCTCGATGTCCTCTAGGAGAGTGTCCCACGTTGTATGTCGGTGTTCCGATACACGATCTTTGACTTCTAGCTGAAGGCGTCGAAGTAGGGTTCGGTTCGATTCCGATCAGTATCGGTCGAAAGCGCGTTTGGCTGCATTTTTCTGCCTAATTAGCAGTTGTAGGTCGGGCGGAAAGTTAAACCGTCGGTCACCTGACAGTTTAACCGTCCGTTCCGAGTCTGCGACTGCGGAAATGATGGTTTCTCGGAGACTTGCTATCACTCGATTTGCATCATCGAACGTAGCTAGGAACGTAGGTCGACTAAGTTCTGGGGGTCCAAGGCCTTGAGTTTGACCTCAAGACGATGCCAGTGCACTACGGATTTGGTCGGAGGGACCGCGCCGGCGTTCTGGACCAGTTTACACAGGACGGGCCTGTGATCTGTATCTAGTTCATAGATTGTCTCTATCGACTCTATGTCTAGCGAGACCTCCTTGAATAACATGATATCTAGGATTCTTGTTGGTAGTTGTCCACCGTAGGATACCTAGTGGGAGTCGCAGGAGCGATTATGCTAAAGTTTAAATTATCGGATAAGCTAAAGAGATGCTTTCCGTTGTTATTTGGGATGCTGTGGATGTCCATGAGCCGTGTTTGCAGTTTAGATGTCCTGCAATTATCACGGAAGGGCCTAAGTTGAGTAGCGTATCTAGGTCGCTTTGTAATAAGGTTTTGTTCCCCGAGAGGTAGGCTGAGACTAGTACAAGCGGCCTATGGCCGGTGAGCGATAACCTACACGCGGATGCCTCTATATGGCTTAGCTCTGGAATGACGAGCGGGCTACAGTGTAATGACGGTTTGTAATAAATTAAGGTGCCTCCCAGACGATTTGCTAACCGGTCGTGTTGGACTATGTGGTAGTTTGCGATTCTGGGATCGCTAACACTAGGTTTTAAGAAGGTCTCTTGCACTAGAAAAATATCTACATTATAATCGCGAAGGAAATCTGCGATTTCGTCCCTTTCACCCTTAATGCCGTTTGCGTTGAAATATGAAACAATCAGAGTCCGAGGTTTTGTTCTACCTGCAGTTGTACTTCCCATTAAAGTTTTTTTATGAGTTCTAACTAACGAAGCGGCGGAGCGCAATTTTACGGACTATTTAAGTTTATGGTTGGCTTGTAAATGCACAGAGGGCTTCTACAAGCATTTTATGTTCGCTAATGGCTTTAAATCTCTCGGTGCCAGATGTGGCGGCTGCTATTTTAGCGGACAATACGGCGAGTTCCTGTCTATTGATGCGGTCTAATAAGGCGCAGATGTTGGCAATTTGGGCGAACGGGTCGTCCTTGTTTTCCGTGAAAACCGACGATGTTAACTGCACCTGCGGCTTCGGCGCCCTTTGATAGGAGGGCTGCGCCTGAGCGATTGGTCGTGAGGCGACCGGGGGCGCGACTACCTGCGCGGCCACCTGGGCTTTCGCCCAGGCCTTTACGATGGGTACGGGCGCGGGAACGTATTACACGGGCGCGGGTTTGGGCAAAGTGGATTTCGCGGGAGATTTTCTCGCGAGAGTTTTCGGGGCCTTAGCGCAGCCTCTATAACTAGCCGGGTGGCTGGTAGCGTGGCAGTTTACGCAGTCCGGTGGATTTGCGCAATCTTTCGGCCGCGTGCACTCGGGCGTGCCGTGGTCGACGGTGCATTTGACGCACCTAGGGTGAGTGAATCGATTGTTGGCTGTGTGGCCGTAGTGCTGGCAGTTGTGGCACTGTGTCATAATGCCAGATTTACGCGGGGGCTCGATGAGTAAGTCACTGAGCCCACAGACCCTCTTCAGGTTGAAGATGACCTTCCGGGGTAGGGTCCAGTTCAACCATAACCATGTCCATAGTGACACGGGTTCTGGGCTGCCTGTGACGTCGCACTGCATGTACGGGGTATCCCTCAGTGCGGATGTTCACTTTAGCCTTATCGACATCCGACTCATTGGGGACGCCCTTTATTACAACCCGAAGTTTACGCTCTTCGGGCAACGAATAGGTGTGGAAACCTACCTTATTTTTGCGTAAATATTTGGATACCCATGGTATTTTTTTACCTGGGGTCGCGGATTTTGTGGCGTTCGAACCACGAGCATACTTGATGCCACTTTGCTTTTTCTTGTATAATTATTGGCGCCGGTGGCTTAATTTTTCGCTCGGAGGCGAATTCGGGTACCGATTGGGCAGCTGCGGCTGCCTTCTTGGCGGGCGTCGCGATGGGACGGTTTGATGGGGCGGCCTCGCATTCGCTATCAGTTGCGGGGCGCTTTTTGCCCTTTTTACGCGACTTTACGACGGTGAAGCCGTCGGCGTTCGTGTTGTCAGCTGGGGTCGTTTCGACCTCCATGTCCGAGCCGCCGTCCGATTGCGAGTCGGGAACGACATTGGGAAGGGTGCCGAAATTGGTTGCGCGGAAGGGGAGTTGGGTTCGTTCCCGGCGGCGGAAGTCGACACGACGGGCGTTACTAGTGTCCCAGAAGGCGACTCATTACCTGGCGCAGAGGGCACCGGAGATGGCGGCGAGGCGACTGCCGGTGAAGCCGGGTTGTCGTTAGCGTAATCGACGACAAGGCGTTTCTCCGCGGCGAAAGCAAGAAAGCTGCGCCACATTTCGGGGCATCGTTCGCGAATGAATTCCTCTAAGAGGGAACCCGTAATGGCGCTTGAGCCTTTGAGGGTTGCGCCCCGCTGGCGTGTAGTTTCTAAATAGGCCTCCCCACCTTGCGGCAGGGAGTTGTGTGCCTAAAACTAACAACTAATTCGCCTGCGTTTTAGGTGCACTAGGGTGGGTACCTAGCTGTCGCCTATCGCAACAAGCACCCAGTTATTAAATAAAACAATGCCGTCTCTGAGGCGAGAAGTGTGTATGAAATTCTACTTACAGAACAGGAACCTGCCTACGAGCACAAAACCACTAACACTAAACTACTGCGCTGCTTGCAGAAAGATTTAAATTGCAACCGAAATTGCGAGTAGCGACTAATTCGGGTGGCATAATCCCTCCGTCTTAGAGAGAGGTCCGTTCCGTACGAGAGCATGTAGCGGAATGTCGGTCTGCGAGAAGAAAATTCAGAGACGTACGCAAATGGGAAAAGCTCCATGGGCATAATGTTGAGGATCTAGCGAGATAGAAATATCTCCAATACAACCAAAATGAATCTTGTGAGGACGCTGGTATTCTATAAGGCTCCCAATTTTGGGCCAATTCATACCGTGAATCAGATAAAGATCGCAGCGCTCAAAATGTCGTGTTGGAGTAGAATGTTGCGCATACCGTGCACAGCGAAACGCCACAACAAGTGCATTCTTGACAAACTGAACATTAAAACCAGGCTTTACACAATTTGTTATCAACAAGTCCTAACTTATTTTGGTCATATCGCACGTAAGCAGGCAGATAATATTGAAAAACTGGTTGTAGTTGGGAAAGAAGATGGCAAAAGCTCATCTGGGCGATCATTTACCCGTTGATCTGATTATATCAAACTGTTAACTAGGCTTTCTGTTTCTACTGCCTTGAAGAAAGCCGAAGACCGAGTAACGTCGAAGCAGTTTGTCACTGATTCCGTCAAAGCGTTTCAAGACGGGCACGATCTATGGTAATGAAGACGAATACGAAGAAGAATACAAACTGGATGGAGCTGGCATTTAGAAATAAATGGTTTAATAATAAATACTTTTTACAACTACGTCTTATTTTCAGCGTTAAAATTGTTTATGACAACCTATTTTTAAAACTGTAAACATTAGATTTCTTTGTCATTCAGCCACGTCATTTTTGGTTGAATGAAAAGATTGTTAGAGGTGTTTAAGTTTAGTATACGCGGCATTTACCATTAGTTTCTCGCCTAAGAGTAAATCATGAATATATTCCGTTTGCTCGCCGATTTATCCCACCTTTTAGCTATATTAATATTATTAATCAAAATATGGAAAACGAGATCATGTGCAGGTGATTTATCGTGTAACCGGCATGCTACTTTTGTTTTATGAGGGACCTTATAATTGTAAATAACTTTTCATGCATTTCTACAGGAATATCAGGAAAGTCGCAAATACTGTTCGCTATTGTCTATACTTCGCGATATTTGGATTTACTGACAACTTTTGTATCTGCCTATAACACTATTATGAAAATCGTGTTCATAGTTGCTTCTTATGCGACAGTATATTTGATGTATGTGAAGTTTAAAGCTACCTACGATCATAATCACGACACTTTCCGGATTGAATTTTTACTTATCCCGTCTGCTATTTTTGCACTGTTGATTAATCGGGAATTCACGGTTCTTGAGGTTCGTATGCCTGTAGCATAGTATTATTTACTGCTGTGTCGAATTTACCACTTGATTGACACATAAATCATAAATTGGATTATTTACGTATTCGGATTAAAATTACAGGTTTTATGGACATTTTCTATTTACCTGGAATCAGTTGCAATTTTACCGCAATTATTCTTAGTATCCAAAACTGGGGAGGCAGAAAGTATCACATCCCATTATCTGTTTGCGCTAGGTTCATACAGAGGTCTTTATCTTCTTAACTGGGTGAGTGGAAGTGCTGTTATTATTAATATATGTAATACTATATACATTAAACTTTACCAGTATGAATCTGCAATCAACTTAAAATTGTATTTGAAATATTTCTTTTGGTATGTTGCAGATATACCGCTACATTGCAGAAGACCATTACGAATTAATTGCTATTGTGGCTGGTGTTATACAAACAGTTCTTTACTGTGATTTCTTCTACTTGTACATTACAAAAGGTAATATGTTTGAAAAGTCACTCTTTATGCGCATTATACCATGCCATGTATTATTTCTAACTTTTTATGAACTAACATGAAATCATGTTCCAAATCTACTTTATTTTATATCTGATATATCAAGTGAAAACTTGGAATCCATTTTAAAGAGTTCTGTGCACATTGAGGAATGTCATATATTTTAAAGTTAACATGGAGAAGTGCAAGACAGCTAAAATTTATGTACATTTATATGTTTATATCCATAAAATGAAGTCAAACATTCATTGTTCACAATGATACAGTCAATGTCAACCAGTTATCCAATACTAGTAGAGCAGAGTAACATGTCTTTAAAGAATTGTGGCGATGTGGTCATACAGTGACCAAGCCCTTTAATAAAATAAAAAAAAAAGAATTTTCCATTGAAATGTGGCTGACAATTATAATTCTCAAAGCTCAGATTTCAACCAAAGGGATACTACAAATATAAATTTATGTTTCAGTACTAAAAGGGAAGAAGTTACAATTGCCAGCATAAACACAAGCCAGCAGATGCAATAAAACAATTTGACATTATGTCTGTTATTATAAGTCAATAATACTACCTAAGATCTAGCTATATAACTTAGTGGGTATTGTGAAAGCAATGTTATAAACAGTTATTTGTGATGAAATCTGATAATTCATTATATGCCCATTAATATTATGGATACTTAAGAAAATACTGTTATTTTTAAATTCAATTAACAATCATGAGTGTGAGTCTGTGAATAAAAATTTTATTAATATTGAGTTACACATAGAATAAACTTAACATAGCTCTAAATATTCATTAATATAAATAGATTGAAGTCTTTTTGTAATTATCATGTACTAAATACATGTAAAGTATTTCTTTTCCTATCTTAGTGAAGGCAAAATAAAATTTAGGGTAAAATGAAATGTTAGTTGTTTGTATTTGGCATGATCACGAGGCGTTGTGGACATGCCATACTATCTCTACAGCATTTCAGTTTAAAAGAATAGCACATAAAAGCATGGCAGCTTATGCTGCTTGTTAAACATTTTGTATATGACATGTTTGAAAAAACCATCTATTGTAGTTGTACAATTTTGCGGTCAACAATACACAATTGTAATAAAAGGTTTCAGAAATTAACATTTCTTTATTTTATCATTTATATATACCTCTATTACAGTCACTGTCTGCTTAGTATAAATCAAATGTCAGTTTACAAATGTTTTAGGTGTGACTAGGTATGAAACATAAGCAATGAAACTGATTATTTTTGTTATTCTATTTTAATCAATATTTTATATACAACATCAATTCTGTTATACACAAGATGCTTATGTTATTCTTTTCCAATAAGTATTCTTAAATAAAAAAAATATTTTTATATAGTATAATAACATTGAAAATTTTAATAGTTGAGTAAAAGAAAAAAAAGTATGCTCAACTGCCCAATTGGAAAATGGCCTCACTTGTGACATCACTTTGCTTGATAATAATTATTGCAAGATAACAATAATACAAATGCAAAAGCAATACAAACATAACTAAACTAAACTTTGATAATGTATATTTTGGGAGGAAATTAATGATAAATTTAATTAATAGTACATTAAAATTCACTTAAAATTAATATTGTACAGCCAATATCATTATGTCCCTTTACCACCAAGTAATGCAGCATAAGATTCAAAATCAGCTAAATGTAAATGTTCCTGAAAAAGGTAGAGTAATCAGGTTACTATATGGGTTAGCTTAAAAAGATTACAAATTATAGATTTACGAATATCATCTTTATTAGATGTGAACTTATGACAAGGCAAAAATGAATACTGGGACAGCATTCTACATTTGATTGATAAATCCTCTTGTATGTTGAATAGTGTTTTTTTTCTTCATTGGAATGAATCTTATTATTTATTTATCATTTATTTATCACATATTTCATCAATATAAATAGAACAATATTAAGCGTGTTGACTGACTGGATGACTTGTTAGGTAGATGACATTTATCGGTTAAAGGTTAGTATGTCATTTAATGAGTACCTTTAGCATTGTGCTGCTGTTCAGTAATTGAAAGATTCCATCAGTAAGGGTACATTCAGCTATAATGGCAGTGTATGTAACACCCATTTGAAAGTTTTCCTTTAACTGCAAACATTTGTTGAAATTCTATTATTGACTCAATTGCTTTGCTGTCGATAATTTTAAAATAAACATTTACCTGCAAACTCAAAGGCATCAACATGTTTGGACACCTGGTTGAAATGTTTTTTGCTTCTAGTTTGTGCATTATTAATTTAGCAAGTTCCATAAGACTATTATAATATTTGGAATCTGTAACGACAGTACATTATTAAGCTCAATGGATAGAAAATCTATTTTTGTTTATGAAAGTTAGGTGAAAAAAATCTGTGAGAATAATAATTTGATATAATTTCTCCAATATGTCTAAAGAAATTTTAATTTCCAATATCCTTAGAACAATTATTCTCTGATAAAGCAGGTTATAAATCCAGCACCAGACATTAGATTCATTTAAATTTATTAGGATGTTGCAAGAAAACACTTGTCATTAACTGTTTTCTAAAATACCACTAACTACTAGTACTAATAATGCTAATACTAACTTCACAAAATAACTTTAAAATAAAAAATATAATTACAGACACTTTTAATTACACTATGTTTGTTACAATATAATATTTCTTATTACCTAACCTTGGTAATCTAAAGCTAGAGCAATTTTATATGGCGCTATTTTGTTATGAAGGTGTAAATATTCCTCTTTGGTTCTATTACTTAATCCATCCAATAAGAGTGTAATCAATGCATCATCAGTAGTCATTTTGCACTTCAAATTGGACATCTTTGTATCCTAAACAAAAAAAATGAGAATGTAATATTTATCAAATTCTAAGTTGTTTGATATTGAAAAGTAAAAACATACATACAGATTTAACATCAATAGTCAATGTTTCCACAGTCTTCTGACCCCAATTGAAGTTTGCTATTATATTAACATTTGCAGTCATACCAATGTCTTTGATGTCACTTATAGTAAAGAGACTTGGTGTTGTAGTTATCTGATGAGTAGCGTAAGACAGTTATGTAATACATTGAATAATTATGATTCTCCTTCTTTGTACATTTTTATTTCAAGAATTAACAGTGCAAAAAATAAAGTCATATTTTACATTTCAATTATTTTTTCATTGACATCACCAATTATTGCTATACTTATAATGAAACAAACTGTAGCTCATGCAAGTGCATAAGCTTCACATATTTAGTTTAGTAAACTTTGAACCTAAGAAATCTGAAAAGACTTAGTAAAATCACAATTATAAATCACTGCAACATCTTTTCAAATCATAAAAATTTTAGTTAAGTTAAATCAGGTTGAATTTAAATATATTATATACATAATGTACCATAAATTAACTGCAAAGTTGACAGTTAAACTAGCAGGTCCAATAAAAGAACTTTTACAAAAATTTATAATGTGAATAAAATTTAATAAAACATGTATACTAACAGAACTCCACCAATATTTTCTGTATCTTTGCCATTGCACAAAGTATGGCATTACATCTTGCATAGGCACAACAATAGTGAGGCACAATTCTGAGGTATTTTTGAAACAAGCATCTTCCAAATTGTATTCCACAAGTTGATTATTACATGTTATATTTCGGCTAATATATCCAAAGGGATTGCTGTTATGTTTTATAACTTCCTTGGCTTTGGATTTGTTTAAAAACACTGGGATGTATTGACATGTTTTTGTATAAGTAAATTGCAACCACTGTGTTTGTATATTTTGTAGTATAATTTTGCTTGCTTTTTCATATGAATATGAAATGTTGTTTTTACTTGATGTTTTCATTTTAAAAAAATTATTAAGATTTATGACTTTCTGTATTTCAGTTCTCATTTTCTTTTATAGACTGTTTATATTCGTTGTTCTGTACTTCATGTAAAGGGATGTTACCCGGTGGTGCAACAAAATAATCATCTTCTGTTCTTAATGCATTTTTAAGTATCTCCGCTTGACAATTGCCCTGAGTTATTTTATCTGGACGAAGATTTAAATTCCTGTGCGATTAAAAAGAAAAATAATTATAGCACTATATATACAATACTTTCAAACATTTCTCTTTGGCATTGTTTATTCATAATTGATATAACATTTTGATACTGGGTTTTAGTCACTATTCAGTAGAAGAAATAACGACACAATATTAATGTTTTTATACTTACTCATTTTCTAGTACAGAATATAGCGGATCAACATTATCTGTATTAATATGTAGAATTTTATCAGCAAAAGCTACAGAATCTTCTAACACCTTAATACCTTCTACAGTGTCACATTTAACTAAGGAAAGTCGTTCTAGGAGAGTTACAGTATTAGCATCAACTTTACATTTTGTATTTTGTTTTTTTTCTAATTGTATAACAGGTGTTAAAGGAACTTTGGTTGAAAATCTCTTATTTAATATTCTAAAAAAAGTTACTTTGCTGTGAGTAATAGCGGCCAAGTTCATTGTTTTTTGTGAAATGTACTTAGATAACAATTTTATATTATAATTATCTGTCTATCATAAGGATATGATGTACATACATGTAAAAACTAACATTTATAGATGTGCTGTAGTGTAGTATTAATTATTATGTAATGTATTAAGGTTAGAAGTAGAACATTCAACATATTATCGTAACTTTCATTTCAGTATACACTATTATACAGATTTACAGATACACCAGCGTGACCAGATTTTATTTGACGAATCTACTGCTTGTAGAGGTTAAAAACTACTGAATTCTACCAAAAGAGAACGAAAAAATACTAAAATCATAAATCTAGTATATTTTTTGCTGTCCTGTAACCTATAAACATGATTTTTCTTGATTAAACGATAAAGTAATAAAAATAACAAAGAAACCAATGTTTTTTTAAGTTAAATTCTAAATAAAAATATAATTAAAAAAAATAAAATTAAACTTAAAGTTAAGATTTTTCGCCTTTATGTTGGGTAACGTTGTCATCAAGCTGTTTTGAGTCCATATGATCATACTTCTGTCACGATCAAATCTCCTACATCCTCCTTCCAACTGACCCCTCGTAACCCTTCTTTTCCATGCATGCAACATTGTTCTTATTACATTGATTTCGATCTTAATTTTTAATCCTATTAATATCGGAAAATATTCTTTGTACTGTGGCGTTTGACAAAGGTAGTATCGTCATTTGCTTCACAAATTGGGACAAATTGCCATACTTTGGTTTGCTATTAGCATCACAGATTTGGCTGACATCACACCAAAATGTATCCACCAAAAACTTCAGACATCTAACTAGCAGTTGACAGTGAATGTTTTTTAACATAACACAGGTTCACACTACTGCGTAAGTCGAAAGTATTAAAAAAGTCTTAACAAGAATAATTAACTAAGAATTGCATTCCACATATTAACGTTAGTAACTTGCATACCTGAGAAATGCCGGAATATCCTTTCATATGCTTTGATTTAGCCATGTGTTCCTTCAACGACGCCAGTATTCTTAGTACTTCACAGTTGCATGCTTTGCAATGAGCACTCGTAGTGTTTACCTTAGATTTACATGACCAACTTTTCAATGAGGGATATTGCTCTCATTCATCGCGATATCCTTGTGTATATTAAAGTTTCATTTTAAACTCAATACAAAAATTCTCAATAAAGGAATTCCAAGTAGTCTATCACACTCTATGCTCATGGCACGAATCAAACGACCAAAAGAATGAAAATTAAATAGTAACAATCCATTCTATGAAAGGGGGAATACCCCGCATTTATGCGATAAGCCAAAAAAGTACTAGAATAACTGAAAAGCGTGAATTCTACTAAAATATACCAAATAATTTTTACATACTAAATTCTGTTGCCAGTACCTCTGAATCTACCAAAAAAGTAGAAATCTACTAAATCTGGTCACGGTGAGATACACTATACGCCACGGTCTTATCTATGGAACCAATGGAAAATGGAACTGAAATAGTTTTATTTCACATTTGTCATTCTCCTTTCAATTCAAAATATTTTTCTCGTTTTCTTGGGACACAGGGCAAAAGTAACGGTACTACATTTGAACTTGAATTTTATATCACTAAGTAATTGGATAAAAACTATTATGATATTCTTATATTTGGTTCTTTCTTATAACGGACAAAATATATTTCTTCAATTGTTATTTCAATGTTTGTACTAGAATTTTTGTATTGTTGTATTGGTTGATTAAAACATTTTGGCTGTAGTTTAAGTGCATTTGTTTAAATTCACTTAAAAGTTAACTACGGCGTCTTGCTTGTCAAAGTTTATAAGTAATTGTCATTTGTCAACAATGTCAACAATATCATTACACAATAGTTAGAATTTAAGCGGACATTTAGTTACTGTTTTTGGTAATTGATTAGGATTTATATAATATATGAAAGTAATAGCATTAGGTAAGGAAAGTAAAATTACTACATTTAACTACATATCATTTGGTTTAATTTAAGCCAGAATTATATGTATAAATCAATTCATAACCTTATATTTTTGTATGTAGCTATCTGAATGTATTGAGATTAATACTTTTGCAAAATAAAAATAAAATTTTTTAATTGCAGAAAAATGAAGAAATACGCAAAAAATGTGATATACGATAAATTACATCGGAGCGCTGTATTAGTTTGTGTGGGTCTAACATTGTATGGGTCTGTCATCCTGGGTGATCATGTATATAAATATTTTAAATATGTGCGTCCACGGATACAAGCTTCAAAAGCTGCAGCAGAACAAGAGTTATTGGCTGAAGGATCTTCTGAAAAAATCGCGTAAATTTATGTAAAACTTAGATTTCAATAGTAAATTTTATTATTGTAATAAAATTGAAATGATTTAATTTTTGATTAATATCAGTGTTATAGGTGTTTTATAACTAAAGCCCTGTTATTAAATAAGTTTTAGGTTTATTGCTTTTTTTGCAATGTTTGGCACAATTACTGTCTTTACAGCTTACAATACCTCAAAATTTGAGTTAAGGTTTATTTTTATATTCCTGTTTATTCTACCACTATATTACTAGTATAAATACAATAGATAAGTGATAAACACAGTTATTTCTCCTTCGGTGTACTTATGCAAATGTAGGAAACTCCATATTAATAAAATTCATTAAATGTCATCTCATTATTTCTTGTATTTACGCGCTTACACATTACTAAATTAATATATGTTTACTCCTCCCGATTCAGTCTATCCCATGAACACTAAAGGTTTTCTAAGAGTTGGGAATTAAAACAAAAATAAATGTGATAAATCCCTTTGCAATCAACTTGATTTGATGTTGGTGTGCTTGTGCAAATTCACGATGATGATGCACCAAGCATTGCTTCAAATGCTAAATAACAATGTAGAAAGAAGGCTTTAAGATTTTCGTCGGTGTGGTAATCAGCCGTTTAGCTTAGTGGCTAGAGCGTCAGGCCGCGAATGCGGAAGATGTGGGTTCGATTCCCACAGCGGCGACAGTCTTTTCGTACTTTTTCTACATGTTTTAATGTTCAATTTTAAGTGCAGAGAGTAGCACTATAAAAAACTTTAAATTTACGTCAAGAGAAGTACAACTTCAACAAAGTTTAACATCTTTTTATAAAAAGCATTTGAAGTAATTTCATTTGCATTCAAATATTGCATACAAGCATGATCAGTATCTTATATAGCAGAATAAAGTTTTTCAGACTACTTCGCTATATTTATTGAAATAAATTGTCAATAGATGTCATTAAAGTAAAGTAAAAGTAACAACCTATACATGTCCCATCGCTGGGCAAAGGCCTCCTCTATACAGAGGGTATCAGGGCATAGTCCACCACGCGGCCCCACTGCGGATTGGCGGACTTCACATATCTTCGAAATATAATTATGTTATTTTTGTTATTAATTCGAAAATATGCAGGTTTCCTCACGATGTTTTCCTTCCCTGCGGAGCACGTAATAAGTTAGCAGTCAGTTTTTAAATGAAAGTTAAAAATTTTATTGGCGGGATATATATATATATATATATATATATATATATATATATATATATATATATAGTACCCGGAGGACCGAACTTTGCTCGGTTTGTTTTTTTTTTTGGTAAATAGTGTATTTTGGAAATTACATTTAGATACAAATTACTGAGTAATGAAATATGCATAATGTTTTTCGATCTTACCGACGTAATAATAAGAAAATATGAACTGATGTTTTTCACAAAAGAAAGAACTATAAAAAAAAGGGAAAAAAATAACAAAATAACAAATCGACAAAAAATTAAAAATAAAGAAAGCAATGATCTGGAATCGAAAAAAAAGTAAAAAATAAATGTTTAAATGATCGTGACGCGAACCACGGCCGTCTGTTTTGGAGCCGCCCAATTACCGACCGAGCTATTATGACATTTTCTCTTGCGGCGAAATTTACCGTCATATTCGAATTATATTTTTCATTCCCTGAAAACAGGGATAAAAGGACATTTTCTTAAAATGAAACCGAGCTAGATCGAGTTTTCGCTCCCGAATCTATGCACATACTAAATTTATAAATTTGTAATATGGCCTCTAAATCATGGTTAATGTTGACATTGCAGGTTTTGCAGAAAATTTATCGACACTAAGATATAATAAATATTCAGATACCGTAAAAACATTTTTGAATACATTTCCTCGAGAATATACTTTTGGGAAAATTTTCTATACGTACCTAACATCCATAGTTGTCATATTGTGTTCTTGACATCAAGACGTATAACAACTTAGTCTGTCCCGTGACCATGAACGCTGGAAAGGTTCCGAATTTAAATCAAAATAAAAAACGCGATAAAATCCGTAAAATAGTTTCATTTAATATCCATAGTTGTCATCAACCCTTGGACTTTAATTACGAGTGTAAATTTATTATATAGTAAGTATCAAAAAAATCACTGGATAGTATAAAACAAATTCCTTATGAATGCTTAGATCTTTAAAACTACGCAACGGATCTTGATGCGGTTTTTTTATTAGATTGAGTGATTCAAGAGGAAGGTTTATATGTATAATACATTGGACCAGTGCGAAGCCGGGGCGGGTCGCTAGTTATAAAATATATTCATCCCTCGGTTATATTGCTTACTGATGAAACAGAATTTGTAAGATTAATAACGTCATTAACATTAAAATACACGTCATTAACAATAAACACGTTAGGAGGGATAATATCAACGAAAAAGTTAACTGTATGAACTTTTGTAACGTATCTAACGTGTAACGCATATTTGTAATTTATGTCTGACAACTGTCACAATTTCAACTCCACCTAAGAATTCTTTGGTCCAATCTTTAGAAATGTGGCTGCTAGATACCGTATCAATCATGGAGCCATATCAGTTCTACATTCAATGCCTAAAATACTAAAAATGACTATATAATAGGCTTATCAAAATCGTAGTATCGATTAACCTTATAGTGGACTACGGTAGTCCATTATTTAGCGCCATTAAAGTGGTACCATCTGTATGCTTAAAAAAAATTAATATATTAATAATTGTTTTTGTCGCACAACATATTATTCTTATGTAGTATATTATTTA